GAGAAGGAGCGGCAGGAGCGGGAGGAGGAGCAGCGCCTGTCGGATCGTGTAAAGAATGTTAACGAGAAGTAGGAAAAATTCCTGGAAGAGGAGCGGATGGCGCGGGAGAAGGTGAAAGAATACCGGGAACAGGAGTGGAAGTGGCGGGAGAAGGTGAACGAAATCCTGGACAGATGGGCTGTGAAGGGCCCTTCCTTGAGCGAGCGAGGTGCGCAAGCGAGGGCCTTTGGGGGTTGTCGATGATCATATGACCGATGCTCATGCACATATGCATATGATCATATGACCCATGCTCATGCCCCGCCTCTGCTGCTTTCCTCCCTTGCCCCGCCTTTGCTTTTTGAGAATTCTCAAAAACTTCCTGCAGACTTTTTGTTGAAGGCGGGTGGCATGCAGCAGGAGAGGAGAGCTCACGAATATTTTATTCCAGCTCGGACACTTTTTGTTGAAGAGGGGTGGCATGCAGCAGGAGAGGAGCTTATTGAGATCACTTTTGAGAATTTTGTTAAAATTGAAATCACTCCCTGCAGACTTTTCGTTGACGAGGGGTGGCATGCAGCAGGAGAGGAGCTTATTGAAATCACTTCTGAGAATTTTGTTAAAATTTAAATCACTCCCTGCAGACTTTTCGTTGACGAGGGGTGGCATGCAGCAGGAGAGGAGCGTTCACGAATATTTTCTTCCAGCTCGGACACTTTTTATTGAAGAGGGGTGGCATGCAGCAGGAGCGGAGCTTATTGAGATCACTTTTGAGAATTTTGTTAAAATTGAAATCACTCCCTGCAGACTTTTCGTTGGCGAGGGGTGGCATGCAGCAGGAGAGGAGCGTTCACGAGCAGGAGGTGAGGAGTGGGAGGTTGAGGGGAGGGGAGGGGCGAGGGGAAGGTGAGCGAGGGGTGAGGGGGGTTGAGGGTTGAGTTCAGCACTGGTGAGGGGTGGGAGGTTGAGGGAAGGGGAGGGGCGAGGGGGAGGTGAGCGAGGGGTGAGGGGGGTTGAGGGTTGAGTTCAGCACTGGTGAGGGGGGACCTTACGTTCGGGGTGACGGGGGTTGATGGTTGAGGGGGAGATGAGGGGGAAAGGGGGGTTGAGGGTTGAGGGGGAGATGAGGGGGAAAGGGGGGTTGAGGGTTGAGGGGGAGATGAGGGGGAAAGGGGGGTTGATGGTTGAGGGGGAGATGAGGGGGAAAGGGGGGTTGAGGGTTCAGGAGAGAGGCAGATGTGCGATTGCATGCGAGAGGCAAAGGCAGAGGTGTGGTGTGTGGAAGGAGAGGTAGAGTGGAGCAGAGGAGCGAGAGGTGTGGTGTGTGGAAGGAGAGGTAGAGTGGAGCAGAGGAGCGAGAGGTGTGGTGTGTGGAAGGAGAGGTAGAGTGGAGCAGAGGAGCGAGAGGTGTGGTGTGTGGAAGGAGAGGTAGAGTGGAGCAGAGGAGCGAGAGGTGTGGTGTGTGGACGTAGAGGTAGAGGGGCTGCAACATCAGCTGGAGGGGAGGAGTAAGAGATTGAGGGGAGATGGGGTGTGAGGGAAGAGCGGAGGGAGAAGGCGGGAGAGAGGAGAGAGGTGGTGAGAGGAGAGAGGTGGTGAGAGGAGAGAGGTGGTGAGAGGAGGCCAATGAGGTGGGGAGGAGCATCTACAGTAGTCTTTATTTTAGCGTTGTTGCCACCTGTGACAGTAGTACCCATGCACTACTGAATAGCACCATGTTAGCCCCTTGTCACCCACGTGATTGAAGAAGTGTTTTGAGACGTCTCAAAACACTTCTTCAGTCACCTGTTGCGACAGTAGTATCCATGCACTACTGAATGGCACCATGTTAGGCCCTTGTCTCCCATGTTAGCCCCTTGTCTCCCATGTTAGCCCCTTGTCACCTTTGTCAGGCTCGATCCCTCTGACACGCTACTCCTGCTTTTACTGTTGTTCCTTTGCTTAAGCGTCCTCTCTACTACTGCAGCCCTTTGAAAACATGAGTCAGGCTCGATCCCTCTGACACGCTACTCCTGCTTTGTGCACCGTGTTTGTCCCTTTATAATCATTTCCGTTATGGCAGACAATACAAAGACCGGAGGATTTGACAAGGCAGCTGAAGCGTCAGAGACGAGTGGTGAGTGGCCCACGGTTGGTGGGGGAAGGGAGTCGTTGAGAGGGTGGGGGAAGGGAGTTGTTGAGAGGGTGGGGGAAGGGAGTTGTTGAGAGGGTGGGGGAAGGGAGTCGTTGAGAAGGTGGGGGAAGGGAGTTGTTGAGAGGGTGGGGGAAGGGAACGCGAATATTGGAAACAGTCGGAATGGTGTGCTCGTGGGAACAGGTGTTGAGGGTGGAAGAGGAGTTGCAATGAGTTTGTCTCTTTGCCACTCCTCTCCTCTTTGTTCTCTCCTGTCCTTTCCTCTCCTCTCCTCCCCTCTCCTCTCTCCTCCTCTCTCCTCGCCACTCCTCTCCTCTCCTTTCTCTTCTCCTCTCTCCCCTCTTCTCCCCCTCTTCTCTCCTCTCATGTCTCCTCTCCGCACCTCTCCTCTCCGCACCTCTCCATTTTTCTTCTCATCAGAGATTTAATGTACCGGAAGCGGTGGAGCAGCAGCAGCAGAGGCCAATGCGGGGGCAGCGCCGGGTGGAGTATCTGCAGGATACAGAGCGGTGGCTGAACGATATGGAGGAGTGGATAAAGGTGTTCAGGGGTACAGACGAGCAAAGTAACCAGCAAGGTAGGGAGAGGGAGTGAGGGTTGGTGATGCAGGCATGGGCGAGGGGAGGAGCATGAGAAGAGGCTATGAGGATGCTGGCAGGAGAGGGGGTGTGAGTGAGGGTTGGTGATGCGTCTGTTTTTGAGTTGACTCAAAAGTAGGCTCATCCCACGAGGAGGCTCTGGTTATGCTCGCATGAGAGAGGCTGTGAGGGGTGGTGATGCGTCTGTATTTGAGTTGAGTCAAATACATGCTCATCACACGAGGAGGCTCTGGGTTGGGGATGCTCGCATGGTAGAGGGTGTGAGGGTTGGTGATGCTTGCATGGGAGAGGGTGTGAGGGTTGGTGATGCTCGCATGGGAGAGGGTGAGGTTTGGTGATGCTTGCATGGGAGAGGGAAACTCGACTTTGTTGCTCTGCACCAACCACGCCTGCCCTCAAGGGCCTTGCCCCGCCTCTGCTTCTTCCCTCCCTTGCCCTGCCTCTACTTCATGAGCGAGGGTGTGAGGGTTGGGATGCTCGCATGGGAGAGGAGAAGTTGGCTTTGTTGCTCTGCACCAACCAGGCCTGCTCGCATGGGAGAGGAGAAGTTGGCTTTGTTGCTCTGCACCAACCAGGCCTGCTCGCATGGGAGAGGAGAAGTTGGCTTTGTTGCTCTGCACCAACCAGGCCTGCTCGCATGCACGCGGATTTGACATCTCCGAATTCTCAAGAGCAAAATCCGCATGAGAGAGGAGAACTCGACTCGACTTTGTTGCTCCGCGCGCCAACCAATGGCTGTTGAAGCGCTGGCTGTTGAAGCGCTGGTGGAGGCACGTGCGCTCGTATGCTCGGCCTTTGGAGGTGCCGAGGTGCGCAAGCGTAATGCGCAAACCAATGGCGCCCTCTGCTGCATTCCCCCCTTGCCCCGCCTCTGCTGCATTCCCCCCTTGCCCTTCCCTCTGACTGTTACAGCGCTGGCGAAAGCACGTGCGCTCGTACGGGAGAAGGAGGAGAAGCTGATGGGTGATTGCCTAAGGGAGCAGAGGAGCACATTCGAGGTGGAGGTGAGGGGAAAGTGGGGGGTTAAGGGGGGCGGGGGGTGAGGCGAGGATCACGAGGTGACTGAGGGGATGAGGGGAAAGGGGGGATGAGGGGAAAGGGGGGATGAGGGGAAAGGGGGGATGAGGGGAAAGGGGGGATGAGGGGAAAGGGGGGATGAGGGGAAAGGGGGGATGAGGGGAAAGGGGGGATGAGGGGAAAGGGGGGATGAGGGGAAAGGGGGGATGAGGGGAAAGGGGGGATGAGGGGAAAGGGGGGATGAGGGGAAAGGGGGGATGAGGGGAAAGGGGGGATGAGGGGTAAGGGGGGATGAGGGGAAAGGGGGGATGAGGGGAAAGGGGGGATGAGGGGAGAGGTGGTGAGAGGAGGCCAGTGAGGTGGGGAGGAGCGTCTACAGTGGTCTTCCTTGAGCTGAATTTTGAGTCGGCTCGAACGACTACAGTAGTCTTCTCTTGAGTGTCGTTGTCACCCATGCTAGCCCGCTGTCACCCATGCTAGGCCGGTGGCACCCATGCTAGGCCGGTGGCACCCATGCTAGGCCGGTGGCACCCATGCTAGGCCGGTGTCACCCATGCTAGGCCGGTGTCACCCATGCTAGGCCGGTGGCACCCATGCTAGGCCGTTGTCACCCATGAGAATTCCTCTAAGTGGCACAGATTTATAGATCCCAAGTCTACGTGAGAATTCTGTGAAGTAACACAAGCACCACAATCCGGCACCACAGGAGGGCCTGGTCAACTTTGCGCTCATCCCATCGAGTACTGTTTGTAATCACATCCGTTTGTAATGACATCTGTCGTAATCAAATCCGTTTGTTGGGAGATATTACTAAGGTTTGAGTGGTTGAAACGGCGGCTGACTCAGGAGCAGCAGGAGCTGACTCAATGGTGGGTGGTTCTCCCCTATCCTGCTGTCCCCTCTCCTGCTCTCCCCTCTCCTGCTCTCCCCTCTCCTGCTCTCCCCTCTCCTGCTCTCCCCTCTCCTGCTCTCTCCTCTCCTGCTTCTGCAGTGGATATTCAGCATCAGCATGTGTTCAGCATCGAGTGGGCCCCAATTAGGTGCCATGACTTTATGTGGCAGCAACTATGTTTTTTAGGTAAAAATATAAGTGTAAAAGGTGCTTGCTTGTAGACCTTGTGAAGAAAAGTTTGATGGTAACCGGTTTCGGCATATAGCCTTCTTCAGACCACAAGGAGAAAATGAGCAAGCAAACTACGTCAAATACCAACCCCTAGGGCTCCATCACGTGGCATTCCATCGCGGGGCCTGGGTGGTGGGGGGACGTATAGAAAACAGTACAGTAAACAGTACAGTGCACTGGGTGGGTGGCATTCCCGCGCACTTTTCTTTGCTCGACTACGTGCACGCGGGTATCCGGAGAAGTTTCTTCTTCCGATTTTTAAGTCAGTGCTTTTCGCTAGCCGTGGGGAACTTCTCCAGCGTGCCTCTGCTATTCGCAACTCTCCAACCCGTGGCCCCCTGGTGCTGAAACTGTTGCTCAACCCTCTGGTTGACCGTTCTCGCCTGGGGAACATTTTGAGTCGACTCAAAAGTCACCTCAGTATAATGTCACACGGTGTGTTTTCTTCACGGAGAGCTATTATTGCTTGGAGGTTACCGCATAGAGTAGGGAATTTTCTTATTTCCGCTCATAAGAGTTAGATTACTTGTGCATGTTTGACTGTACTGTGTTCAGCATCAGCATGTGTTCAGCAACAGCATGTGTTCAGCAACAGCATGTGTTCAGCAACAGCATGTGTTCAGCAACAGCATGTGTTCAGCAACAGCATGTGTTCAGCAACAGCATGTGTTCAGAAACAGCATGTGTTCAGCAACAGCATGTGTTCAGCAACAGCATGTGTTCAGCAACAACATGTGTTCAGCAACAGCATGCGTTCAGCAACGCAGATGGAGACCCGCTATTCAAGCACAGAACCGCTCCTTCCCTCCTCTCGCTCCCCTTTCTGTCCCCACCCACCCCGATCCCCTTCTCGACAACAGCATGTGTCCACGGTGCAGACCAGCTGGTGTGCAAGGTTATGAAGGGCGCCTCATAGATTGAGGCGACTCAAAGATTGAGGCGGATTTTGAGGCGGATTTTGAGGTGCCTCAGAAGCAGTGCAGACCAGCTGGTGGCCGAGGTTATGGAGGGAATCGAGGCGGATCTTTGAGGCTCCTCATAGATTGAGGCGGATCTTTGAGGCTCCTCATAGATTGAGGCGGATCTTTGAGGCGCCTCAAAAACAGTGCAGGCCAGCTAGCGGCCAGGTTATGAAGATTCCATGGGCGGATCTTCCATGGGCGGGAGTGGCGGATTTCAAGCGAGCTGCAGCGGAGATTGAGGAGTACAATGCTAGAGGAAGGTGCCCTGTCTGTCACTCTGCTCGTGAGCACCGAGGGGGATGAGAGAGAGGAGGGGAGCAGTGGATCAGAAGGGAAAGGAGGAGAAGGTATGGGAGGAGGAGGAGAAGGGGCAGGAGCAGGAGGAGCAGCAGCGGATATTAAGGACTACTATGCTAGTGGACGGGTCGGGTACCCTGTCACCCTGCTCGTGAGCGCCGTGGGGGATGAGGCAGAGACTTTTGAGTCGACTCAAAAGTCACCCGGGTTTCAAGCGAGCAGCAGCGGAGATGGAGGAGTACAATGCTAGTGGACGATCCCCTCTCACCCTGCTGGTGAGCACCGAGGGGGATGAGGGAGAGGAGGGGAGCGGTGGAGCGGAAGGGAAAGGAGAAGGTATGGGAGGAGGAGGAGAGGGGGCAGGAGCAGGAGGAGCAGCAGCGGAGATGGAGGAGTACAATGCTAGTGGACGGTGCCCTCTCAACCTGCTGGTGAGGCGACTCAAAACGCTGCTGGTGCTCGCTGGAATATGCCTCACGGAATGGACCGCTAGTGGAAGGTACCCTCTCACCCTGCTGGTGAGCACTGAGGGAGAGAGGGATGAGGGAGAGAGGGCGAGTGGATGAGAGGGGATTCGTGGTGGAGAGAGGATGGAAGGAGAAGGAGGGGGGGCCGGGGCAGGAGAAGCTGCAGGAGAGGAAGGAGGAGGGACGGCAGGAGCAGCAGGGGGAGCAGCAGCAGGTGCTGCTGGTCAAGAGGCACGCGGTGGAGAGTAGTTGAATGGGGTGAAGCCGGTCGCCAAGATTTGGTCGGTGTTGAGCTATCTTGTGGATCTTCTGAGCAGGCCCTCAGATATCAGCGTAAAACACGCTGATTAGGCTGATTTTGTAGCTGTGATTTTCGTTTTCCCTAGAAATTCAGCATATGCTTCAATTTTGCACTGAAATTTCAGTATAAACTACCTTGCCACACTGACCATTTTCCGTGTTGCTGTAGAAGTAACACTGACGAATCAGTGTAGTGTCGTGAGTCACACTGAAACGGACTTGACCGATTCGGGAGGGGGGGAGGGGGGGGGGGGGGGGTACGCGTGTGTATAGTATGTACCGTATTCTCCCGGATAAAACACCCCCCCATAATTGTACACCCCCGGGTAGCTAATACGGGGTGGGTGTTATATCCGACCCCGTTTGTACTATACCCCCCCTTTTGGGGTGATTTTCTATAACACCCCCCTTTTCTTATAGATTCTTATTATAGTTGTTATCGAGTCCGATTCCTTACGGGAGGATATCGCGAGAATTGCTCCCTAGGTGAAATTTCGCGTGTACTTTCACTTAAAATCTGCCAAGATTTCCCCCCTCCCACAATCTCGCTGTCGCCACGCTAGCGAATCTTCCGCTGCAAGTGGCCCAAAAGGTGAAAATCACCTTCTCACATGAGGCACAGACACATGACCAAACCAGTCAAGAAGTGACTGATACAGTAAGAACACACCACCGTGCGCGATTCTGGCCTGGGCGGTTGCATGAACTGTGAAAATTTTAGAAGAAAGAAGAGGACTGCACTAGCAAGAATGGGGATACAAATAGCAAACCCTAGAAGGGTTGTACTCGCTATAGAGCACCCCACTACAGGCTAGAGCATAAGATAACATTCTTACACACCTCCATAGCCAAAGTGGGGTGTAATCAGCAGAGCAAGTAAAGCAGTACAAGCTCAGGGTGGATCACAATGTTACCACACATTCTGAGCACAAGTTCAAGAAGCAATAGTTTAAAGTTCACAATTATGAGCAAAGCTAGTGGTAGTCACAACGGGCAAGTAAGGAGGACGAGAGAGAGTGAGAGGAGAGGAGATAGGAGGCGACGGATGAAGCTGCAGGCACACGGGCAACAGGAGGCACACTGGCACAGCGGCTACCGGAACAACGCTCCGGAATACTGGAGTAACTGGCCCCGCGGCTAAAGTAGCGGCAGACGAGCAACGGACCCACGGGCGGCTAGCACAGCTGGCTACGACTGGGCTACCGGAGCAACTCCCCGGAATACAGGTGCTGCTGGCGACACGACGGCAACCTCCATTCAGCTTCCCCAAACTATCCCACTCCCCCCTGGCACACACCCGCTGCTACACCGCTAGCTCCACTCCCCCTTCACCCCCCCATAGTACCACTCCACCGGCTCCAGCACGTCCACCCCCCCTCAGCGACAGCTGCAGCACAGGGAGACGGAGGAGGAGGAGGAGCAAGGGAGACCACACACCCGCCACCCCCCAGGTCGCGGCCCCCGAAGGAGCCGCGACGGGCGACGAGGAAAAGGGGGGGGGGGGGGGGGGGGGGGGGGCGGTGCACGTGCCGTAGGTAGGGCGACGGGGCCGGTACGCAGGTAGGGCGGTGGGGCCGGGGCGCAGGTAGGGCGACGGGGCCGGGGTCGGAGGTGGGGCGACGGGGCCGGGGTCGCAGGTAGGGCGACGGGGCCGGGGCGCAGGTAGGGCGACGGGCCTAGGGCCGGGGCCGCAGGTATGGCGACGGGACCGGGGTCGCAGGTGGGGCGACGGGGCCGGGGTCGCAGACAGGGCGACGGGGCCGGGGCATAGGTAGGGCGACGGGGCCGGGGCCGTAGGTAGGGCGACGGGGTGCGACGCGCGGGTCCCCGTCGCCCGTCGCAGCGTCTCCCGGGGCGCACGGCGGGCATAAAACCGCCGCGCGCCTCGGGGTGCACGGCGGGCAGAAAACTGCCGTGCGCCTCGGGGCGCACGGCGGGAAGAAAAAACTGCCGCACGCCATGGGGCGTGCGGCACAGAGAGTAGCAGTAGCAGTTGCAGCGGAAGCAACGAGGTGGTGAGCCCACCCACAGGATCGATCCAAGGGGATCGACTTGCTCTGATTGCATGTGAAAATTTTAGAAGAAAGAAGAGGACTGCACTAGCAAGAATGGGGATACAAATAGGAAGCCCTAGAAGGGTTATACTCGCTATAGAGCACCCCACTACAGGCTAGAGCATAAGATAACATTCTGACATGAACCCTCGCCACGCAATTGGCTTTGTTTTCACCCTATCAAGTGCCAAAATTGCCCACTCGAATATGCCACGTGACAGATTACAGTGGGCGGTCACGTTATCCTCGTATACTCGGTTTTGCGGCACTGGTCAACAATCTTGAAGTGAAGTCAGACACCTGATTTTGTTTCACATCTTTTCTACTTGATAAAAAATATACCATATAATAAGACCCGGGTATTATGTAGGATTTTCCTTTGAGGAGACCCCCCCCCCCATTTTTTCCCAATGGTTTTCATAATACCCTAGGGTGTTTTATCCGGGAGAATACGGTACTTGGCCCGGGATTCACGAGACCCCACCCACACACTTGGAGATGCCATGCGCTGTACAGCAGATCGCGTGCCGACGTGCTTTGCATCGCTGGAAGGAACTCTCACAGCGGCAAAGTTTGAGTTGAATTGGTGATTCAACTTCGTTTTTCTTTTTTACACTGATGGTTCAGTCTACTTACGGTATGATTTTTACACTGGCAAAATCAGTATAAAAAAAAAAACATGAACGCTGATTTGGACACCTGGGCGGCCGGGGCACGCTGATCGATCAGCATACCCTCAAACCAATCTGAGGGCCTGCTTATGAGAGTCTTCATTGTTGCTGCACCCAAGGCAGAGGCTGTGGAGGGGGGGACGAAGAGGAAGGCAGAGGAGAGTGTGGAAGGATTTCCTTGCATCTGCCTGCATACTGTGTGCAGCATTGTTCACTGAGCCTTATGTATATATAGACATTCGGTATTTTCTTCTCAGGCTAATCACCAACAAGAGGGGCGAAGACATCCAATTTATAACCTCAAACTTTTCGTTCTTAAAAAAAAAAGCATTTGTAAAATCGTTTGTGTGAAACATAGTATTTTAAATGCTTAGGAGCCCCGCCAACGATGAAATGCCAAAAGAGCTAAAGCCAAGGGGCTTCTATGGGGGAATACTACACGCACAGCTGCAAAAACTGGTATTTGACGCAGGGCAAGCCAATACCGCGTACGTAGGCAAACCTAAAACTTTGTTCCAATTTCAACCACCTTGGTCATTAGGTGTGTCATCAGCGCGTCTCGTCTTACTTAGGTTTCGCCGCTTCTTCCCTACGTCTTCCTCCTTTCCGCGCTTCCCGGCTCCCAGCTTCCGTCCATAATACCCCGGTACTCGGAATTACCGTTTCAAAATCCCGTCGGTGCCTCGTCAATGGCGAATCCGCTCTTCACCGGCCAATGGCCCATGACTTCCGAGGGCGAGGAGGTGAGATCTCCTGTCGTCGCACTTTCGCCTGACCGAAATTTTGTCGTCGCACTTGTTTTCGCGATCTACCTTCGTCGCAGCGCTAACTCGCTGCCTCGAGATTTCCCAGAATCGTCCCCGGTCAAGTCTGACGTCAGTCTGACGGCACAATCCGCATCAGTCCCCCTTAACGCATCTCGTACACCCTTGACGGATTCATCCACAATCTGACGGATCCGTCTCTCGCGCGGTTAATCGTAGTACGCCGTTCTGAAACGGTTCGAACACCCTCCTTGTGTGATACGTCGATTTCTGGATCTACTCAAAATTCGAACACCCTCCTTGTCTATCTGTCGTTTAGAAGCTTGCGCCGTCGTTTCCATTTCCTTCCACTCTGCTCATTTCGCCCATTTCGCCAACCAGATTCGCATGATCTTCGTGACAGGGTTTCTCCCAGACGCCAAGGAGCGCGAGGTGCAGAACATGCTGCGCTGGTGGCCGGGCTACGAGGCATGCCAGCTCACCCCGCTTCCTCTCCCACCCATTCCCCCCTCTCCCCCATCTCCCCCTCTCATTCGCGAAACTTTTGTAACATTTCGCGGAGCAGATTCGCACGATATTTGTAACTGGCTTTCCCCCAGACGCCAAGGAGCGCGAGGTGCAGAACATGCTGCGCTGGTGGCCGGGCTACGAGGCGTGCCAGCTCACCTTCAAGGGAGATCAGCCATTAGGGTTTGCCATCTTCAGCACCCCTGCCATGGCGTTTGCTGCTAGAGACGCACTTCAGGTAGGAGAGAGGAGTGGAGCGCGTGGGGTGGGTGGGATGCGGTGGGAGGGGAGAAGTAGATGGGAGAAGGAGAGTGGCTGGGCTACGAGGCGTGCCAGCTCACCTTCAAGGGCGATCACCTGTTAGGGTTTGCCATCTTCAGTACTCCTGCCATGGCGTTTGCTGCTAGAGACGCGCTGCAGGTGAGTTGGGAAGGTTGGAGAGAGGGGTGGAATGTGGTGGGGTGGGGTGAAATGGGTGGTAGGTAGCGATGGTTGGGCTACTACGAGGCCTGCCAGCTCGCTCGCCTTCGAGGCGACCAGCCACTTGGGTTTGCGATTTTTAGCATTCCTGCCATGCCATGGCATTCGCTGCTAGAGACGCGCTGCAGTTGGGCAGGGTGTAGAGCTCTCGCTGCTGAAGCTGCCCCATTGCTCCTGCATGTATCTGTGTGCACTCACTCACCCCGCCTGTGTAATCCTCCAAGGGCCTCATATTCGACGCGGATCACAACTCGGTGCTGCGAGTGGAGCTGCTGCTGCTGCTGACGTTGCCTCATTGATCCTTCATGTGTATGTGTGTACTGTGCCCCTCCCCTCCCTCCCTCCCTCCCCACCCAGGGCCTCATATTCGACGCAGATCACAACTCGGTGCTGCGAGTGGAGCTGCTGCTGCTGCTGACGTTGCCTCATTGATCCTTCATGTGTATGTGTGTACTGTGCCCCTCCCCTCCCTCCCTCCCTCCCCACCCAGGGCCTCATATTCGACGCGGATCACAACTCGGTGCTGCGAGTGGAGCTGCTGCTGCTGCTGACGTTGCCTCATTGATCCTTCATGTGTATGTGTGTACTGTGCCCCTCCCCTCCCTCCCTCCCTCCCCACCCAGGGCCTCATATTCGACGCAGATCACAACTCGGTGCTGCGAGTGGAGCTGCTGCTGCTGCTGACGTTGCCTCATTGATCCTTCATGTGTATGTGTGTACTGTGCCCCTCCCCTCCCTCCCTCCCTCCCTCCCTCCCTCCCTCCCTCCCTCCCTCCCTCCCTCCCTCCCTCCCTCCCTCCCTCCCTCCCTCCCCTCCCTCCCTCCCTCCCCACCCAGGGCCTCATATTCGACGCGGATCACAACTCGGTGCTGCGAGTGGAGCTGGCGAAAACCAATCTGCACAGACGGAAAGGTGAGAGGCATAGACGCGGCATGCAGGACAATCAGAGACATCGAATTTGATCTGCATATATGACTGGATCTGCGTGAGCGGGTTCGACACTTGAACTCCGTGTTTGAGAGTGGAGCTGAACCAAACCACCCGCAGATGAAAAGGTGTGGGCGAGCGAGCGATGCGAGAGGCCGAAACATCCTCAGAAAAGTGATAGGGGTAGGTTTCTTTGGTTAGGGTTCTTTGGTTAGGGTGTACAGTCAGAGTGTAGGCTTTACAGTGCAAGCGCTCCAGGGTGGATCTCTCTTGCCCCTTTCCTCCCTCTTACTAGATCCTCTCCCCACGCGCTTCTCTGTCATGCAGGTCTACCCGGGGGAGGTGACGGCTACGACCACTCCAAGCGCTCGAGGGTGGATCTCTCTTGCCCCTTTTCTCTCTCTTACTAGATCCTCTCCCCACGCGCTTCTCTCTCATGCAGGTCTACCCGGGGGAGGTGACGGCTACGACCACTCCAAGCGCTCGAGGGTGGATCTCTCTTGCCCCTTTTCTCTCTCTTACTAGATCCTCTCCCCACGCGCTTCTCTCTCATGCAGGTCTACCCGGGGGAGGTGACGGCTATGACCACTCCAAGCGCATATGGAGCTAGGATCACCCTTGCCCCACTCCTCTCTCTTACTATATTCTCTCCCCACACGCTTCCTCATGCAGGTCTACCTGGGGGAGGTGACGGCTACGACCACTCCAAGCGCTCGAGGGTGGATCCGATGGCTGCTTATATGCCCGGTGCTGCTGCTGCTGCTGCTATGGGCAGGTGAGGGGTGGATGGGGAAAGGGGGAGGGGGAGAGGAGGAAAATAACATGAGGGGTGGACACAAGGGGTTGACGGCTACGATCACTCCAAGCGCTCGAGGGTCGATCCAATGGCTGCTTATATGCCCGGTGCTGCTGCTGCTGCTATGGGCAGGTGAGGGGTGTGGAGGGGTGAAGAGGGGTGGTGGATGGGGGGAATGGGGTTCGTGGGAGGAGAGGGGCAGGAGGATCGATCTGATGGCTGCCTTTATGCTCAGCTCTGCTGCTATTGGCAGGTGGGGTGGGAGGGGGGGAGGACAGAGGGCGCAGGAGGGAGGGAGGTGGTAGGGGGAATAAGGAGATTTTGCGACTTTCTTGCTTTGCTTCCTCTCCCTCTTCCTTTTCTCCTTCTCCTCAACTCCACTCTCCCTCCCTCCCCTGGTTCCTCCCTCGCTTTTTCCTCCTGCTGTTAACCCAATTTGATCTTGCTCCGTTACTCTCCCTCCTCACCTAATGCCTCCCCCTTCGCACTACACGCATCCCTGCTGCTTCCCCCGCCGCTTTCCCTGCTCTCTCTTTTACCTTCTCCCAACCCAATTCCGCCCTCCCCCCTTCGCCCCGGCCCTTCCCCTGCTGCCTCCCCTGTTGCCAAGCCAGCCATGCCGCCTCCCCTGCACCTTGCCCATACATTGTCCCCTTTCTCCTTCCCAACTCCCCAATTCCCCTCTCTTCCTCCCCGCCCTCCCACCCCAGCTTCATGCCGGCAGCATATGACGCTTATGCCTCCTCCTTCACACCCCTCCCTGCTGCTGCCCCCCCTGCTGCTCCCAAGACGTACACTCCCCTCCCTGCTCCGCCCTCGGGCATGCCTGGAAAGGTGAGAGGCTTCAGAAAAACACAGTGATGTTTGCACTGAGGCGAAGAGTTCTCTACTGTCCCCCTCCCTCCCTCCCTCCCTGCTGCCTCTTGAGTCGACTCAAAAGTCACCTCATGCCTGGAAAGGTAAGGGTTCAGAAAAGCACTGAGGCGAAGAGGTCTCTACTGTCCCCCTCCCTCCCTCCCTCCCTCCCTGCTGCCTCCCCTCCCCTGCTGCCCCCACGACTGCTCTCCCCTCCCTCCCCTCCCTGCCCCACCGCCCAACATGCCTGGAAAGGTACAAGGAGAGGACTCTGAGAGGCGTTGTTATGCTTACACTGATCCTAAGGGTTTCCTATTGTCCCCCTTGCGCCAGTCCCTGCTGCTTCCTCACCCCTGCTGCCCCCACGACTGCTCTCCCCTCCCTGCCCCACCGCCCGACATGCCTGGGAAGGTAGGGTAGAGATGTGCGGTGCGGTGCGGTGTGGTGCGACCGTGTTCCTTTGTTGCTGTTGTTCTACTCTCCCAACCCCTTCCCCCCCCCCTTCCCCCCCCTTTCCCTGCCTTCCAACAAATATACCACTCCAACCCCCACTGGGTGTTGCAGAACCACAGCGTATTAACACCGCATTATATTGCACTATGCCGCAACATAACCCCTCTACTTGATCAGATATACCACAACCTCCTCCCCCTGCAACCTCCTCCCCCTGCAACCTCCTCCCCCTGCAACCTCCTCCCCCTGCAACCTCCTCCCCCTGCAACCTCCTCCCCCTGCAACCTCCTCCCCCTGCAACCTCCTCCCCCTGCAACACCCTGGGCCTGGGAGTGAGGCTCTTACCACACCTTATACCTGATTATACCGCACTCTACCTCTTGCCCCCTCAGATGTAACGCAACACCCTCCCCCCTGCAACACCCTCTATCTCGTCTCGGGAACCTTGGCCTGCAAGTGAGGAGGGTGTTTCCACACCACAACCACACCAGAATAACACCGCATGGTACCGCAATATGCCGCACTGTATCCTTCTACCGGTCAGATATACTGCGACAGCCCCCCCTGCAACACCCTCTATCCCGGCAACCTGGGCCCGGGAGTGAGGGGGTTGTTACCACACACCACCACCACATCGAACCGCAATATGCCGCACTGTATCCCCACTTCCTCTATCAGATATACCGCGACAACCCCCCCTGCAACACGCTCTATCTCGGAAACCTCGGCCCGGGAGTGAGCGAAGCCGAGCTGTTGCAGATTTTCAGCGTGTGAGTGCCTTGATTTGTTCGAGATTTGCTTTTTAACGTCCTCACGTTGCTTTGCTTCAAGTTTCTGATTCATTTTCTTGTTCTTCCCATTTGTGTTACCCTTTATAGCCACAGTTTTTGCTTTCTTTCAGTTCAGTCTGCAAGTGCCAATCAGCTTACTGAATCTGCTTCGTTACAGTGTCCCTTACCTTCTCACTCACAATTGTACAATCTTGTTACCCCAGCCAAGCTTAGTTACTAACTTCGCCTCGTTATTGAATCTGCTTCACTAGTACCCTGGCTTTTGAGGCGCCTCAAAAGTCGCTTCAGTAGTACCCTGGCCGTACGTAGGTCGTACCCTACCAAAAGACACTGGCAATTTATACAATTTATTCTAGTGTGATGGAGTGTAACTGCGGCCTTCATTCACCTCGTTATTGAATCCGCTCCAGTAGTACCCTGGCAGGTCGTACCCTAGCAGAATGACTTTTGAGTCGACTCAAAAGTCACCTTGAATGAATCAGCTTCACTAGTACCCTCGCCGTAGGTTGTACCCTGCCAGAAGACACTACTGAAGCGACCTACGACCTACGGTCAGGGTGGCAATTAATTTTAGTGTGATGGATTGTAACAACTGCCTTCATTGCCTTCGGTATTGATTTCGCTTTGTGTTACCCTTTGCAGCCATGGTTATAGCCAGCCACAGCCTTACAAGACACTGGCAAGTAGTGTTCAAGTGGTTTTTTAGAATTCTCAAAAACCAGTAGTGTTCAAGTGGTTTTTTAGAATTCTCAAAAACCAGTAGTGTTCAAGTGTGATGGAATGTAGCCACTGCCTTTTTCACTGAGGCGCCTCAAGATTCTCCTTTTTTTTTTTTTTTTCTACGCTCCAAAAATCAAGACACTGGCAAGTAGTTCAAGTGTGATGGAGTGTGATGTGACCGTTACCTTCATTCGTTGTGCTTCGTTGTTTCCCTGTTCTCTCCCCCTGGCCTCTTGTCCTCGTTACAGGCAGCCTGGTTATGTGCAGCTGAGGCTGCATCGACAGGGAATGAGCACTTGCTGTTTTGTTCAGTTCGTTGTGAGTGTGTATTTCCCTGATCCTCCCAAGTACTGGGAAAGTTAAATTCTGCAATTTTCTATATTTTGTTAGGGTATTTTGTGTATTTCCAGGATATCGTTTTTATGAGAATTTGTCCTATTTCTCCAGCCGCTCCTCACCTCATGTCCTTTCTCAGCCGCCTCTCCCCTCTCCCCCACCGCCCATGCTCTTCATCAGGACGTGGAGGCAGCATCAGCAGTGCGCACGGCACTGCAGGACATCACTCACGCCTCCTCTTCTCCTCTCTTACCCTCCTCCTTTTCCTCCTTTTTCCTCCTGTCTCTTCTTGCCTCCAAACCCTCCCCCTCTCTCTTCATCTGGACGTTGAGGCAGCATCAGCAGTGCACACGGCACTGCAAAGCAAGGCATCACGCTCGCTTCTTCTTTCCCTCACTTGCTTTCCCTTCCCCTCCGTTCCCCACCTGTCTCTTCCTCCCTCCACCCCCTTCCCCCCCTTTCGCACCCGCTCTTCACCAGGACCTTGAGTCAACATCAGCAGTGCACATAGTGCTGCAGGGGGACTTTTGAGTCGACTCAAAAGTGACTTCGTGGAGTCAACATCAGCAGTGCACACTGCCCTACAGGGAATTAGCCTCGCTCCCTCTTTGCCTCACTCAACCCGCTCCGTCCCCTCCGTTCCCCTCCTGTTTATGCCTTCCTCCCTCCCCGCTCTTCACCAGGACGTGGAGGCGGCATCAGCAGTGCACACTGCCCTACAGGGAATCATTGTCGCTTCCTCTTTGCCTCACTCAACCCGCTCTTTCCCCTCCATTCCCATCCCCTCCTGTTTATGCCTTTCTCCCTCCCCGCTCTTCACCAGGACGTGGAGGCGGCATCAGCAGTGCACACTGCCCTACAGGGAATCATTCTCGCTCCCTCTTTGCCTCACTCAACCCGCTCCGTCCCCTCCGTTCCCCTCCTGTTTATGCCTTTCTCCCTCCCCGCTCTTCACCAGGACGTGGAGGCGGCATCAGCAGTGCACACTGCCCTACAGGGAATCATTCTCGCTCCCTCTTTGCCTCACTCAACCCGCTCCGTCCCCTCCGTTCCCCTCCTGTTTATGCCTTTCTCCCTCCCCGCTCTTCACCAGGACGTGGAGGCGGCATCAGCAGTGCACACTGCCCTACAGGGAATTAGTCTCGCCTCCTCTGACCGAGGGCCCGTGCGCGTGCAATATCCTCCCCACCACCACTCCCCCACTGCCTTGACACACTCTCTCCCTGGCCCCATGTCCTCCTGCCCTCCTTTCACCTCAACGTGCCTCTGTTCCCTTCCGCCTTACATTTCCCTTCCCCTGATTTCGTTCTCCCCTTTTCTCTTGCACTCTCCTCTGACCTTGTGCACTTCTTTCTACCGACTCACATTCTTTTCCGCGCTTCCTATTTCTTTCTCCTGGCTGCTGCTCACTCCCATTCGCTCTCCTCTGACCTTGTGCACTTGACTTTTGAGAGAAGGGGGACTTTTGAGTCGACTGCTTCCTATTTCTTTCTCCTGGCTGCTGCTCACTCCCATTCGCTCTCCTCTGACCTTGTGCACTTGACTTTTGAGAGAAGGGGGACTTTTGAGTCGACTGCTTCCTATTTCTTTCTCCTGGCTGCTGCTCACTCCCATTCGCTCTCCTCTGACCTTGTGCACTTGACTTTTGAGAGAAGGGGGACTTTTGAGTCGACTGCTTCCTATTTCTTTCTCCTCGCTGCTCACTCCCATTCGCTCTCCTCTGACCTTGTGCACTTGACTTTTGAGAGAAGGGGGACTTTTGAGTCGACTGCTTCCTATTTCTTTCTCCTCGCTGCTCACTCCCATTCGCTCCGATCGGTTTGAAGGCTCTTTTGTTTGCTTTTTTTTGGCACTATCTCTGCCCAGTTAACAAGCTGCTGACCCTCCTCATTCTCCCCCCTTGCTTCATAGTTTGATAATGTAGCTTTTCTTAACTCCTCCCTCTCCATCTTATCCCCCGCCTCCTTTCTCTCGCTCTCTCTTTCGCTTCCTCTGACTCCCTGTCTCTCTCGCTCTCTTTCTCCTTCTTTCTCCCCCTCCTCCTCTCCCTCGCTCTTTCTGCCCTTCTCTCTCCCTCTCCCCATCCTCATCTCTGTCTTTCTCGCCATTGCCCCCTAGCACATTCTCTCGCACTCCGCTCGGGCAGAAGGGTCACAGGGCAATGGACAGGGAAGGCAGAGACGCTATAGGGGCTGTAGGGGCAGCAGGGGCACCAGGGGCAGCAGGGGCAGGGGTAGAGCCGCCACCAGCAGGCACGGCGGGGGAGCAGTAGATGTGTAGAGGAGTGCAGGGGTCTTCTGTGTGGTGCAGAAGGGTTACAGACAGATCGATGGAGTGGGAGGCGAGGGACGCAAAGGCAGGAGAAGGAATAGGGGTAGAGGCGAGAGCCACTGGCTTTTGAGGCGCCGAGAAGACATGGAGGAAGGGTATCATCAGGGGTGCAGGGACGGCAGCGGCAGCAGGGGCAGGAGAAGAGGTAGAGCTGCCATAAACAACAGGCATGGAGGAGGAGTGTTGTGCGGACACCAGGTGACTTTTGAGTCGACTCAAATGTCACCTCGCTGCTATAAACAGGCATGGAGGAGGATTGTTGTGCAAAACGTAGGATTACATGATGCAGAAGTGAATGGGGGGGAAGAAGTGGAATTCTCCCTTCTGGAGAGCCAAGAGACGCTGCAGAGACTTTGCTGGGACTCTGCAGGCAGACTCAGAGACTCTGCCGTTCACATGGCGGGTACCCGCCTAGGTAAAGTGGCCCTCTCTCTCATTGCCAAGCGTTGCAGTTATGGTAAGCTTTGCCTAGGTGATTCACGGCTCTGTACACACGCACGCGCACTGTGCCTCTAAGTTGGTCTCTTACGTTTTTTGAGGTCTCGTAAACGTAAATTTCGTGTAATTTAGCGTAAACGTAAACGGAAACGTAAAATTACGCGTAAGTATGAGGCGGGCAGGAAAAAAAAACTACTGTGATATTTTTTTTTTTCTGGATTGTGTACGGGTACCAGATCCTACCACTAATTTGTCGTGTACCTGCATAGAATAGCGACTTTACTACGTATGGAGCGCCTTTCAAGTCTGAAAGTTTCAGATTCAGTGTTGACCGGGTTGGTAAGAGAGAAACACGATAGGTTGCGAACGAGCTGCTAGGTTGACGTCGAACAAGATAGCGAGTTACAGAACTAGTTTGGAGGGAATCTTCCTGATGCTCTGGTCGTTTTTTTTTCCTCGGGCAGCTCAGAAAAGTTTTTAGGTGACCGTAAACGTAAGGCCGAATCAGGGCGACTGTTCGTAAACGTAAAAATTGTCGTAATCGTCCGAAAACGTAAGGAACCGAAAACGTAAGATCCAACTTAGCTGTGCCTGTGAATGTGTGTGGTTGCCACTGCCCGCACCCACACACTGTCTGATTTGTTTCACTCAAGTGTGAAACTCCTGAAATCTGTCTGCCTGAGATGCACTCGAGTTTTTACACTCGCTAGGCTTTACTGTTTCACAGGTGCAGTCCTTTGTTGCAGCTTGCAAATTGCAAAACACGTTCAAATTGCAAAACACGTTTGAACATGCTCTTTCTGCACATGCATGCACGTGTGTAAGGATACGTTTGGGATGATCAACACCACCAGCACCAGCACCAACAGCAGCACCGGCAGCTGTAGAAGCAGTTGCACACCAACACTCAGAGCAGCACCAGTACCACCAGCACCAGCACCAGCACCGGCAGCTGTAGGAGCAGTTGCATAGAGCCAGTTAAAACACCAACACACATAGCACCACCAGTGACACCAATGCAAGCTATGGGGGCACCATCACCAGCTGCGGCACGGGCAGCACAAGCAATGATGACAGCACTCACACCACAGCCATCATCACTAGCAATACCACCTGTCTCATCACCAGCATCAGCACCAGCACCAGCACCAGCACCAGCACCAACACCGGCAGCTGTAGGAACAGTTGTATAAAGCCAGTTAAAACACCAACACACAGAGCACCACCAGTGGCACCAATGCAAGCTATGGGGGCACCATCACCAGCAGTGGCACGGGCAGCACAAGCAATGATGACAGCACTCACACCACAGCCATCATCACTAGCAATACCACCTGTCTCATCACCAGCACCAGCACCAGCAGTGCTGTAAGCGTTAGCACCCCCACCCCACTGTCACCACTCCTTGAGGTGCCAGCATAGCCACCTGCACAGGTGCACACAGCAGCGCCACCAGCAATGGCAGCAGCATCATCACTGGTCACAGCCCCAACACCAACACAACACGAACACCAAAACTAGCAGCACTCCCACCAGCACTGCACACTGTGCTGCAGCATTGCCACCAGTGGCACCAACACTTGGCACCACCAGCAGAAGCACAAGATTGGCACCACCAGCAGAAGCACCACAAGATTGGCACCACCAGCAGAAGCACCACAAGATTGGCACCACCACCAGAAGCACCACAAGCACCAGCCGCAGCACCAGTTTTGTTACAACCGCACAGCACCAGCACATTCAGTTGCCTGCCGCACCAGTCATGTCAGCAGCAGCCTCAACGTCCATTTGGATCAACTCCCCTCCTCTTGTTATGTTAGGTATGTGTGCTTCTCTTGTTTTTTTAGTGGACTAAATAGCACCTCACTGCACCAACACCAGCACCAGCTGCCTGCTAAAACTAGCCATGTCCGCAGCACCACCACCATCACCACCACCACTAACAGCACCACCACCAGTGGTAGCACCGGCACGCCACACTAGCCGTGCCAGCAGCAGCCGCAACACACCCTTTCCCGAGCACTACCCACATCAGCAGCAAGGGTGCGCATCACCACCACTGTCACAGCCACCAGCGCCACTAGCACCAGCACCAGCAGCACCAGCTGCCTGCCACACTAGCCGTGTCTGCAGCAGCCCCAACACACCCCTCCCCAAGCACTACCCACATCAGCAGTAAGGGCGCGCATCACCACCACTGTCACAGCCACCAGCGCCACTAGCACCAGCACCAGCAGCACCAGCAGCACCAGCTGCCTGCCACACTAGCCGTGTCTGCAGCAGCCCCAACACACCCCTCCCCGAGCACTACCCACATAAGCAGTAAGGGCGCGCACCACCACCACTGTCACAGCCACCAGCGCCACTAGCACCAGCACCAGCAGCACCAGCAGCACCAGCTGCCTGCCACACTAGCCGTGTCTGCAGCAGCCCCAACACACCCCTCCCCGAGCACTACCCACATAAGCAGTAAGGGCGCGCACCACCACCACTGTCACAGCCACCAGCGCCACTAGCACCAGCACCAGCAGCACCAGCAGCACCAGCTGCCTGCCACACTAGCCGTGTCTGCAGCAGCCCCAACACACCCCTCCCCGAGCACTACCCACATAAGCAGTAAGGGCGCGCACCACCACCACTGTCACAGCCACCAGCGCCACTAGCACCAGCACCAGCAGCACCAGCAGCACCAGCTGCCTGCCACACTAGCCGTGTCTGCAGCAGCCCCAACACACCCCTCCCCGAGCACTACCCACATAAGCAGTAAGGGCGCGCATCACCACCACCACCTTCACAGCCACCAACGCCACTGGCACCAGCACCAGCAGCACCAGCAGCACCAGCAGCACCAGCAGCACCAGCAGCACCAGCAGCACCAGCTGCCTGCCACGCCACACTAGCTGACACCAGCAGCCCCAATGTACCCTTGCCTCTCCAGTGCTTTTCCTAGCACCTGTTCTGTGTGATTCTTTCCCCTCCTTCCTTTTGCCCTTCAACTTGTCATACAGCTGCTCTACAAAGTTACCATAGCTTCGAGCCCTCAAGTTAGACATCAAGTTATGTGATCTGGTTTTGGTGCATCTTTTATTCAAGTACCGTAAGAATGGTTTCAGAATTCAATAACTGCCGTAGGTAGGCAGCATGTGCTCTAGTGTACCTTCAATAATACATCATGCAGTAATGTTGATGGATCGAAATAATTGACGCTTTCAGGAGAAAAAAAACCATTTATTCTTGTACCGTACTGTTACTGGTGTTTTCAGATTCTTCTCTCGACACGTGTATTGAATAGGGCTTTCATATAGAAGCCGCTCCTGCTTTTGGCGGGTACGTGCTTCACACCTTCCCAATTTTCGCTAAAACCCAACACCCGAAACCCGACAGGCTTCTCGTGTTTTTCCCTGATGAAATGTTTTGCCATCCCCAACCTCCATCCCTCCTAACCTAGAAGCAGAGCAGCACGTGCGGTGTGACAGGTGGCGCATTGGTCACGCATAGCACGTGTTACATTGGAGTATCTGACATTCCTGAGACGAATTAGTCAAGCCCCTCGAACCAGTCAAGCGAGTCAAGCTAGTCAGCGCAAGTTAAATCCCGCACGCCAACATGGGGCGTCCCGACGCCATGCAGGCAAGATCCCCCGGCGGCGGCTTCCGCGGGGGATCCCGCGGGAGGGGCGGCTTCCGCGGGGGTTCTCGCGGCAGGGGCAGATCGAGCTCGCCTGGTGGCGGCGGGCGCGGGGAGATTAGCGGAGGGAGGGGCGGAGGAAGAGGCGGGGGAAGAGGACTGAGTAGGGGCGGGGGGAGGGGTTTCGGGGGAAGAGGCGGGGGGAGGGGATTTGGCGGAAGTGGAGGGGGAAGGGGAGGCGGAAGAGGCGGCGGAAGGGGCGGCGGAAGAGGAAGGGGGCGATGGAGCGGCGGAGGGGGAAGGGGAGGATACGGCGGCCGCGGTGGCGGATTTGGCGGCGGGAGAGGCGGCGGATTTGGCGGCGGAAAAAGCGGAGGGTTGGACAGCGACGAAGACGAGGCGACGCCGGTAGATGCGGGGTACGAGGTGGCAGAGGAGCTTCCGGAGGAAGCTTCCACGAAGAACCGGCGGTACGATGACGTGGACGTGTACGAGTACGAGCTTCCCGCGGACTTCGAGGTGAGCGAAAACGTTGGCGAGAACAGGATAACTTTAGCTGTATTGTCGCAATGATTTCGCTGTAGTTTCGCAGTAATTTCGCTGAAATTATGGGGCTGCAAAGATTGGTACGAGTCCTGCACTGAAGAGGAAGCGAAGGTAGGAATGGGGCAAAAGGGATAGAAGGGGGTACTTACCCAACAGTTCCCTTTCCCCTTTCCTTCCAGCTCTCTTTATCGCCTTCCTTTCCCATCAGGACGAGGCTTTACCGAAGAGAAGCAGATGGGGATAGGGCAAGGGGTAATTCTCCACTCGCACTCTTCGCTCCCCTTCCTTCTTCTCTTTCTTCTCCCCATTCCTTCCTCCTGTCATATCAGGACGAGGAAATCGACGAGGACGAGGCTTTTACCGAAGAGGAGAAGAAGATGGGGATGGGACGAGGGGCGGGGGGGGAGGGAGAGGAAGAGGAGGAGGATGAGGAGGAGGAAGAGGGAGGGGGTATGTTAGATAGTGATGATGAGGAGGAGGAAGAAGAGGAGGAGGATGAGGAGGATAGGGAGGAGGGAGATTGGGGAAAGGGGAAGAAGGAGTTAGGAAAAATGAGGGGTCACGGAAAACAGAAGGACGAGGAAGGGGAGAGTGAGGAGGAGGAGGGTGAGGAAAGGGAAGAAGAGGAAGGAGAGGAGGGAGAGGGGGAGAGTGAGGAGGAGGAAGATGACGACGAGGACGAGGAGAAGCATCAGCAACTGCTGGCTGATGTGGTGGCGAGGCAGCAAAGCAGGGAAGGTGAGTCAAGTCAAGTCAAGTCAAGTCAAGTCAGACAGAGTGGGAAGGTGAGTCAATAGCATGCAAGGCAGAAGCATCAGCAGCTGCTGGCGGTTGTGGTGGCAAGGCAGCAGCAAGGCAGGGAAGGTGAGGCAAGAGGAAGGGGAGGTTAGGGAGTAGGGTTTAGGGTGGAAGGGAAGAACAGGGTTTCAGGTTTAGGGTTTAGGGTTTTGAACAGAGTCGTAATAGTTGAGCCTGGAGCGGAACACAAGGTTCGTGCAAGGACGAAGTAAGGCAGAAGCATTGTCAGCAGGTCAAGTCAAGCCAAGCCAAGTCAAGTCAAGCCAGGGAAGGGAAGGTGAGGGCAGGAGAGATCGGCGCTCAGGTGTAGGGTTTAAAAATAGGGTCGTAACAGTGGAGCCCGGAGCGACACACAAGGTGCGTGCGGAGGGAATGGAGAGAATGGGGGTTGTGTGGGTCGGGATGGAGCCTTGGACGCATGGCATGGCACTCAAGGAAGGAATCAGAGATCTAAGTTTTTACAGGAGGGTTTTTACTGTCTTTCCTTTGCTTTAAGCCTAAGTAGGTTTGCTGCTCGCTGAGAATGTCACAAGACCAGGAGCCTTGGGAGCATGGCATGGCACTCAAGGAAGGAATCAGAGTTCAAGGAATCAGAGATCAAGGAATCAGCAGCAGTGGTGGTGGCAGAGGGGCTACCCGAGTAGGAGGAGTTCAACCTCTTTGTTTGAGGTTGATTTTGAGAATTCTCAAACTCAAACAAAATGGAGTTCAATCAACCTCTCAGCAGCAAAGGGTGCAACCAGTCACTGTCTCGCAACTCTCTGCTCACTGTCTTGCCCTTGTCGTCTCTCCTTCCCCCCGTCTATGCTTCTACCTCATCTTCCCTTGTCTTCACAGCTAGAAAGCCTCGCGGTGCAATAGCATTGAAAGCATCAGCAGTGGTGGGGGAGAGCCTACCTGAGTCAGAGTTCAACCTCACAGCAGCCAAGGGCGCAAGCCGATCCCTGCCTCACCCCTCTATGCTCCCTGTCTTGCCCTTGTCGTCCCTCTTTCCCCTCCCTTTTTTCCCCTTGTCTTCACAGCTAGGAAGCCCCGGGGTGCAATAGCATTGAAAGCATCAGCAGTGGTGGGGGAGAGCCTACCTGAGTCAGAGTTCAACCTCACAGCAGCCAAGGGCGCAGCGCTGGCAGCAGCAGCAGACGCAGCAGCAGCAGCCGCGGCAGGAGGGGCTGTTGATTTCCCAACCACTACAGCAGGTTCGGCAGCTGCTTCGGGAGGGTTATCTGTGGAGGATTTGCTTCGGCCGCTGGGGCAGGTCGGGGCTGATCTGTCAGGCTTGGCGAAAGGCTCGGCGGAAGGCTCGGCGGCGGCAGGTTTGGGAGTGGGAGGTTCGGCGCTGGCTGGGCTGAAGAAGCAGATGAGGCGGATTGAGGCGAGTGGCGCTCCTGACACGGGCCCTCTGCCCACTGTGGTTCGGGAGAGACTGGAAAGAAAGTGAGTGGCTTGGGTTTTTGTCTTGGGTACAGTGTAGGGGATAGAGATGGGTGAGTGGTGAAGCAGATGAGGCGGATCGAGGCGAGTGGCGCTCCTGACACTGGCCCTCTGCCCACTGTGGTTCGAGAGAGACTGGAAAGGAAGTGAGTGATTTGGGGTTGCGTGAAGAGAGAACAGAGGGTAACAGGGCTGAAGCAGCAAATGAGGTGAATTGAGGCGAGTGGTGCTCCTGACACAGGCCCTCTGCCCACTGTGGTGCGGGAGAGGCTGGAAAGAAAGTGAGTGATTTGGTGCAGGGGTCGGGGCCAGGGTTGGGGTGGGGTTGGGGGCTGGGCCGGGGGTTGGGGCTGGGAATGGGATTGGGGCGGGGGTTGGGGCCAGGGTTATACTCATCCCTTCTCCCCCCTTCTCCTCTCCCTTATCCCTCTTCCCCTCCCTCCTCCCCTTCCTCCAGAACGGCCTACGAGGCCTCCTCCAAGGAAGCGGCCAAGTGGCTTCCCCTGGTGCAGCAGAACCGCCAGGCGCCCTCCCTCAACCTGATCGACGAGATGCCGTCGCTGCCCACTCTCACACTGACTCTCTCTCTTTTCTCCCCTCCCTCCTCCCCTCTCCCTCCCCTCCCAGGGCGGCCTACGAGGCCTCTTCAAAAGAAGCGGCCAAGTGGCTTCCCCTGGTGCAGCAGAACCGCCAAGCGCCCTCCCTCAACCTGATCGACGAGATGCCATCGCTGCCCACCCTCAAGTCAACGGACAGGCTGGTCAACAAGTTCAGACCTCAGTCGGACATGGAGAGGGAGGTGGCTGCTGCATTGGCCGCTGCAGGCGTGGGGGACGACAGGAAGATCGCCCACGGGGAGGCATTGGCCCTCAACAAGGTGGGTGTGATGTGGGTGGTCTAGTGTAGGTGCCTCCTCTCTCTTTCCTCGCCCTGCCCGCCTTTCCCACCCTCAAGTCAACGGACAGGCTAGTCAACAAGTTCCGACCCCAGCCAGTCAGAGATGGAGAGGGAGGTGGCAGGTGCTCTGGCAGCTGCAGGGGTGGGGGATGACCGGAAGATAGCGCATGGGGAGGCCTTGGCTCTCAACAAGGTGTGTCCCTCTGTTCTGTGTGGCTGGGGTGGGCTAGGGTAGGTTCTTCCTCTCTCTTCGCCCTCCTCTCCCTCCCTCCCCACGCTCAAGTCAACGGACAGGCTGGTCAAGTTCAGACCCCAGTCGGAGATGGAGAGGGAGGTGGCTGCTGCATTGGCAGCTGCTCTGGCAGCTGCTCTGGCTGCTGCTCTGGCTGCTGCTCTGGCGGCGGCAGGTGTGGGGGACGACAGGAGAATCGCGCATGGGGAGGCACTGGCTCTCAACAAGGTGAGTTCTCAATAAATCTTCGAGCAGAAAGAGCAGTAGGAGATTCGGTCGCTGCTGCGGCCATGGTGATGTTACTTATGAGAATCCACCAACGTAACATCACCAAGGTGAGTTGTGCTAAAAAACCTTGGAGCAGAAACAGCAGTCGGAGATTCAATCAACCGCTGCTGCCGCCACTGCCTGTGCTCCTTCCTGTTGACTTTTGAGTCGACTCAAAAGTCAACCGCTGCTGCCGCCACTGCCTGTGCTCCTTCCTGTTGACTTTTGAGTCGACTCAGAAGTCAACCGCTGCTGCCGCCACTGCCTGTGCTCCTTCCTGCTGACTTTTGAGTCGACTCAAAAGTCAACCGCTGCTGCCGCCACTGCCTGTGCTCCTTCCTGTTGACTTTTGAGTCGACTCAAAAGTCAACCGCTGCTGCCGCCACTGCCTGTGCTCCTTCCTGTTGACTTTTGAGTCGACTCAAAAGTCAACCGCTGCTGCCGCCACTGCCTGTGCTCCTTCCTGTTGACTTTTGAGTCGACTCAAAAGTCAACCGCTGCTGCCGCCACTGCCTGTGCTCCTTCCTGCTGACTTTTGAGTCGACTCAAAAGTCAACCGCTGCTGCCGCCACTGCCTGTGCTCCTTCCTGTTGACTTTTGAGTCGACTCAAAAGTCAACCGCTGCTGCCGCCACTGCCTGTGCTCCTTCCTGTTGACTTTTGAGTCGACTCAAAAGTCAACCGCTGCTGCCGCCACTGCCTGTGCTCCTTCCTGTTGACTTTTGAGTCGACTCAAAATTCAACCACTGCTGCCGCCACTGCCTGTGCTCCTTCCTGTTCTCATGCACACCTGCCCACCACCCCCCCCCCCCTCCTTCCTCTCCCTCCTTCTCCCCCACCAGATGTCAGTAGAAGAAGCAAGGGAGAGGATGAACCGACTGGCCAAGATGCGATCGTTGCTGCTGCAGCTACCGCTGCACCAAGCCATCTCCCCATACTCATGCACACTTGCCCTCCCTCTTTCCTCTTCCCCCGTCCACCAGATGTCATTGGAAGAAGCGAGGGAGAGAATGAACCGACTAGCCAAGATGCACTCGCTACCATTGCACCATGCCAGTGCTCGTTCCATTTCCCATGCCCTCACCCTCCTCCCCCCACTCCCTCCTTCCTTCCTTCACCTCCCCTTCCCCTCCCCTTCCGTCCCGTCCCGTCCCGTCCCCTTCCCCTCCCCTCCCTCCCTTCTCCTCCCCTTCCCTCCCCTCCCACCAGATGTCAGTAGAAGAAGCAAGGGAGAGGATGAATAGACTAGCCAAGATGCGCTCGCTGCTGCTGCAGCACGAAGCAAAGGCGAAGCGAGTCAAGAAAATCAAATCCAAAACCTTTCACAAGATGGAAAGGAAGGCGGAAGAGAGGAAGAGAAAGAAGGGGATCTCAGCGGGAGGGGAAGCGGGTGGGGAGGAGGAGTGGGAGGATAAGGAGGCAGCAAGAGAAGCCGCGATAAAGCAGGAGTATTTACGTGCTAAGGAGCGAATGACCCTTCGGCATAAAAACACTTCCAAGTGGGCAAAGAGGATTATAGAGAGGGGAATGGCGGCTAAAGCGGCGGTTGGAGGGCAAGGGACGAGGGAGGCTATAGCAGAGCAACTAAGAACGCATGCTATGCTGACTAGAAAGATTCATTCGGCAACGATTGGGAGAGGGGAGGGGGAGGATGAGGAGGAGGAGGAGGAGGAGGATGGGGAGGGGGAGTGGGGAGAGGAGGGGAGTGGGGAGGAGTCTGGGGGGAGTGAGGGGGAGGAGGCGGGAGGGAAGGGAAAGGGAGGGGAGAAGGAGGGAAGGCGGCTAGTAGCGAGTGCTAAGGCAAGAATACTGAGGGCCCTAGAAGGGAAGGGGGGAGGGGATGGAGGGGAGGGAGGGGAGGGGGATGGGGCAACGAAGAGTGGTCTTTTTGCGTTGCCGTTTATGGCTAAGGCTATTGAGAGGAGGAGATTGGAAGCTCAGAAAGAGGCTATAGAGGCGATTAAAGACCTAGAGGAGGGGTTGGAAGGGGAGGGGTATGGTGACGGAGAGGATGGGGAGGGTGGGAAGGGGAAGGGGGGAGGTGGAGGAGGGGGTGATGGGTGGGGAGGAGGAGGATGGGGAGAGGAGGAAGAGGAGGGAGAGAGGGTGGGAGCAGGGAGACGAGTATTTGGGAATCTGGGAGAGACAGTAGTGGGAGGGGAGGGGCAGGAGGAAAGAGACGAATGGGTGGCAGTGAGAGAGGGGGAAGGGGAGGAGGGAGAGGAGGAGGAAGGAGGGGGAGGGGAGGATGTTGGGGTAGGAGGGCAAAGCGGAGGGGGAAAGAGTGGGGTGAAGAATGCGGGGAGAGGAGGAGGAGGGGCAGAGGGGAAGGGTGGAAGGTTGTTGAAGGAGGAGAGGGAGGCAGCACGGCAGGTGAAGGCGATGCTAGGAGCGGGGAAAGGATTCTCCTTCTCAGGGGTGAGTGGCTGGCTGTGTTGACTTGCAAGGTTTGTTCAATGTGTTTCAAACAACCTCTTTTAAGTCGACTCAAAAGTCACCTCCTTCTCAGGCAGGGGTGAGTGGCTGGCTGTGTTGACTTGCAAGGTTTGTTCAATGTGCTTCAAACAGCCTCTTTTAAGTCGACTCAAAAGTCACCTCCTTCTCAGGCAGGGGTGAGTGGCTGGCTGTGTTGACTTGCAAGGTTTGTTCAATGTGCTTCAAACAGCCTCTTTTAAGTCGACTCAAAAGTCACCTCCTTCTCAGGCAGGGGTGAGTGGCTGGCTGTGTTGACTTGCAAGGTTTGTTCAATGTGCTTCAAACAGCCTCTTTTAAGTCGACTCAAAAGTCACCTCCTTCTCAGTCAGGGGTGAGTGGCTGGCTGTGTTGACTTGCAAGGTTTGTTCAATGTGTTTCAAACAACCTCTTTTAAGTCGACTCAAAAGTCACCTCCTTCTCAGTCAGGGGTGAGTGGCTGGCTGTGTTGACTTGCAAGGTTTGTTCAATGTGTTTCAAACAACCTCTTTTAAGTCGACTCAAAAGTAACCTCCTTCTCAGGCAGGGGTGAGTGGCTGGCTGTGTTGACTTGCAAGGTTTGTTCAATGTGCTTCAAACAGCCTCTTTTAAGTCGACTCAAAAGTCACCTCCTTCTCAGTCAGGGGTGAGTGGCTGGCTGTGTTGACTTGCAAGGTTTGTTCAATGTGCTTCAAACAGCCTCTTTTAAGTCGACTCAAAAGTCACCTCCTTCTCAGTCAGGGGTGAGTGGCTGGCTGTGTTGACTTGCAAGGTTTGTTCAATGTGTTTCAAACAACCTCTTTTAAGTCGACTCAAAAGTAACCTCCTTCTCAGGCAGGGGTGAGTGGCTGGCTGTGTTGACTTGCAAGGTTTGTTCAATGTGCTTCAAACAGCCTCTTTTAAGTCGACTCAAAAGTCACCTCCTTCTCAGTCAGGGGTGAGTGGCTGGCTGTGTTGACTTGCAAGGTTTGTTCAATGTGTTTCAAACAACCTCTTTTAAGTCGACTCAAAAGTAACCTCCTTCTCAGGCAGGGGTGAGTGGCTGGCTGTGTTGACTTGCAAGGTTTGTTCAATGTGCTTCAAACAGCCTCTTTTAAGTCGACTCAAAAGTCACCTCCTTCTCAGTCAGGGGTGAGTGGCGTGGCTGTGTTGATGTGCAAGGTCTTCTAATGTGTTGATGTGCAAGGTCTTCTAATGTGTTGATGTGCAAGGTCTTCTAATGTGTTGATGTGCAAGGTCTTCTAATGTGTTGATGTGCAAGGTCTTCTAATGTGTTGATGTGCAAGGTCTTCTAATGTGTTGATGTGCAAGGTCTTCTAATGTGTTGATGTGCAAGGTCTTCTAATGTGTTGCAAAGAGCCCCTTGCTGGCACGTTCGTTGCTTCGCTCCTCCCACCCCCTCCTCCCTGCCGTTGCCCCTTCCCAACAGCTCTCACTCTCTCCAACATCTCCCCCCCTCCCCTCCCCCTCCTGCAGTTACCCGTTGCTGGCAACTCTGCATCAGCCCCTGTAGACGTGTCTGTGCCGCCACCCGTGCGTGATGGTGGGGGAGAGGCGCCGGGAGCAGGGGAAGGGGATCGCAGTCTCACTCTCACCCTTTCTAACACCTCCCCACCCACCCACCCTCCTTCCCACCCCTGCTGCAGGTCCCTGTTGCTGACAACTCTGCTTCAGCCCCTGTAGACGTGTCTGCGCCGCCACTTGAAGGGGATTTGGAGGCTTTGCTGCGCCACACAGGGAGTGGAGGGGAGAAGGGGGTGGGTGAGGGTGGGGGGAGGATGGAGGGAGGGGAGGAGGAAGAGGAGGAGGAGGGGAGAGAGGAAGGGAGCGCAGAGAGGGGTGAGGGGGGGGAGAGGGGGAAGGGGAGAGTCAGGGCGAAGGGAGGAGAGGGGGGGAAGAGGGGTGATGGGTCTGGTAATGGTGCTGTGGGTGTTATGCAGGGTGATTATAGCGAGAGTGAGAGGGAGGATGGAGAGGAGGATATAGACGACGGTGTGGCTTATAACGAGGGGATGCGTTTGGAGGGCAAGGGGGATACTTATATGGAGGATGACGCGTGGGGGGAGGATGCAGGGGAGAGAGTGGAGAGGGGAGCAGGAGTGGGGATGGAGGAAGAGGAGGAGAGAGGAGAGAAACCGGTAGGCAAGAAGAGAAAGGGACGGGCAAGTGGAACAGGAGAAGGAGAAGGAGGAGGAGAGGAAGGGAACGGAGCGAGCGCGTTTGAAAAGGGTCAAGACGAGCTGATGCGATTGGCCTTCGCAGGTGATGACGTGGCAGCAGAATTCGAGGCGGAGAAAGAACGAGTGGTGGAAAAAGAAGTGGGGAGAGAGGAGGGGCCTGTGACGTTGCCGGGGTGGGGACAGTGGGAGGAGGTGCAGAGGCGGAAGGGGGCACCGAAGTGGATCGAGGAGGAGAGGGAGAAGGCGAAGAGGAGGCGGATGGATGCGGTGAAACAGAGGGCGGATTCGAAGCTGACGCATGTGATTGTATCGGAGAAGGACAATAAGAAGGTGAGTGAAAGGGGGGGGGAAGAGGATAGGGCTGGACTGGATAGAGAAGCTGACTCATGTGATTGTATCAGAGAAAGACAATAAGAAGGTGAGTAAAAGGGGGGATGGGGAGGGGTGAGTTGGTGAGTAGAGGAGAGGGAGAAGGCGAAGAGGAGGCGGATGGATGCCGTGAAACAGAGGGCGGATTCGAAGCTGACTCACGTGATTGTATCAGAGAAGGACAATAAGAATGTGAGTAAAGAGCGGGAGAGGGCAAATTTTGAAATGGTCGGTGTCATTCGTAGGAACCTATCGATAATGACACTTTGCAAAACTTTCCCACATAGTGTAGATAGAAGGAAGATGGTTGCAACATTGTTTACGTCCTAGCTGACTTTTGAGTCGACTCAAAAGACTTTTGAGTCGACTCAAAAGTCATTGTTTACGTCCTGCCTTCTTTATTTCGGGATTAGCGGTATGTGTTCTTCCACCATCTGCCTCCTTCCATCCAATCCCTCGCACTCTCCTCTCCCATGGGCAGATCGAGAAGTTTTTTGTGCCCGAGCTGCCCAACATGTTCCGCAACCGGGCGGAGTACGCACGCAGCATCCGCAACCCCATTGGGCGGGACTTCAACACAGAAGCAGCGTTCCGCTCCATGACTCGCCCAGCGGTGAGTGCAAATGCAGTGGGGAGTGCAGAGGTAGTGGGGAGTACAGAGGCAGTGGGGAGTGCAGAGGTAGTGGGGAGTTCTCCCTCGTTCCCGCTGTGTGTGCTGTGTATTCTGTGTGTATTGCATGTTTGTTGTATGCTGTTACGACAGGTTATCAAGGTGACTTTTGAGTCGACTCAAAAGTCACCTCGTATTCTGTGTGTATTGCATGTCTGTTGTATACTGTCTGTTGTATGCTGTCTGTTGTATGCTGTCTGTTGTATGCTGTCTGTTGTATGCTGTCTGTTGTATGCTGTCTGTTGTATGCTGTCTGTTGTATGCTGTCTGTTGTATGCTGTCTGTTGTATGCTGTCTGTTGTATGCTGTCTGTTGTATGCTTGCTGTCTGTTGTATGCTGTCTGTTGTATGCTGTCTGTTGTATGCTGTCTGTTGTATGCTGTCCTGTTGTATGCTGTCTGTTGTATGCTGTCTGTTGTATGCTGTCTGTTGTATGCTGTCTGTTGTATGCTGTCTGTTGTATGCTGTCTGTTGTATGCTGTCTGTTGTATGCTGTCTGTTGTATGCTGTCTGTTGTATGCTGTCTGTTGTATGCTGTCTGTTGTATGCTGTCTGTTGTATGCTGTCTGTTGTATGCTGTCTGTTGTATGCTGTCTGTTGTATGCTGTCTGTTACGATATCAAGCCAGTGGGGATGGTCATTCCACCTGTCAGATATGTCTAGAACTCTCAGCCAAGGAGAGCAGGGGATGCACACTCTTTTCTTTTATCATTTGTGTGTGTTGTGTTTTCTGCGTGTGTTGTGTGTGTTACTTTCCCCCATGTCATGAAGCCAGTGGGGGTGGTCATTTGACCTGTCAGATTCATCAACAATGATCAAGAGTCAACACAAGCCGGGGACGACACATCCCTCCATTTCTCATCTTTCTGTGCATGTGTTTGTGTGTGTGTTGTGCGTGTGTTGTCCGTGTGTTGTGCGTGTGTTGTGCGTGTGCTGTGCGTGTGCTGTGCGTGTGCTGTGCGTGTGCTGTGCGTGTGCTGTGCATGTTGTGCATGTGTTCCCGCAGGTCATGAAGCTAGTGGGGGTGGTCATTCGACCTGTCTGATACATCAAGAATGCCCAGCCCACTGTCGAGGAGCCAACAAGAGCAGGTGCTGAGAAATGAGCATCTTCCCTTTCTCATCGTTCTGTGTGTGTTGTGCGCATGCGTTGTGTTGTTTGTTTCCGCAGGTCATGAAGCCAGTGGGGGTGGTCATTCGACCTGTCCGATACGTCAAGAATGCCCAGCCCACTGACGAGGAGCCAGCAAAGAAAAAGGCCAAGGGAGGGGAGAAGGGAAAGGGAGGAGATACGAGCAAGAGAGGAGAGAAGGGCAAGGGTAATAGTAAGTATGGCAACAAGAATGCAAGAGGGAGGGGTGGCAGTGGCGGCGGTGGTGGTGGTGGTGGTGAGAGAAAAAAGGGTGTGGGAGGAGCAAACCGTAATAAGGGTAAAGCTAAGCCTTCCAAGTAGTGTGGTTAGCGTGATTAAGGATTGTTGGGATATACGATGCAAACCATTGCATTTTGAAATTATGTTATTGGTGATGGCTTTTAGGATGCTGTAGTGCAAGTGTGCGATTGACAGCACAGAGAAGCGGAACAGGGAATTATTAAAAGGCATCACACACACACACACTCGAGCAATAAAAACTTCATCCAACCCACGGAAAGACAAGCAGGAGCAAGAGCAAAGGAAAGCGACAAGAAGCAAAAAGCACACTAGAGCGAGAAGAAAGCAGCATTACCCCCCACAATCCACTCCTACCCACCAGCACGCCCCTAAAGCAGCACCCCTGAGTTTCCTGGAGTTTCCACCTATTTTCCCGTGAGACACAGCAGCCTAGTACCACAGGAACACAGCACCACTACCCATGCCCTCCAACCGGTTTGGAGCTCATGTCACCGCACCACAGCAGCCTGGCACCACAGCAGAACAGCTGCACAGTAGCCGTGCCTCCTCACAACTGCCTCAATCCCTCAACGTTAGCCAACCAGCAAGCAAAAGCCCCTACTCCAAAGCTTGAAACCACCTGACGAATCACTTCCCTCCCTTTTTGCCATTGGAATCAGCGGCGCGAATCTGAACAGACACCCCGGTTTTCACAGACGAGACGGAACCCACGGAGCTCCTGCGAGATCCGCTGTCGTTGGAATCGATGGAGATGAACGAACCCTCTGAGTCCTTTCGGGACGGCGCGCCGTTGAGTGAGGGCACGGATGGCGCCTTGGAATCGAACGAGATGGTTGAGTCCATGGAGCCCTTCCGAGAGCCGCTTGGGTTGGGCGGAAGGGGCTTCTGAGGTCCCCCCTTAATAACGAGAATGCGCGGCGTTGCCCCTGAGCCCTTGCGGGATCCGCCAGAGTTGCCCGAGTAAGGCTCGAACGCGTTTGGGACGTTTGCGAGGAATTGCTTCGCCGCAGCAGCGGAATCCACGGACGAGACGGAACCCACGGAGCTCCTGCGGGACCCGCCGTCCTTGGAATCGAAGGAGAAGGTCGAATCCGCTGAGCCCTTTCGGGACGGCGCGCCGTTGAGTGAGGGCACGGATGGCGCCTTGGAATTGAACGAGATGGTTGAGTCCATGGAGCCCTTCCGAGAGCCGCTTGGGCTGGGCGGAAGGGGCTTCTGAGGTCCCCCCTTAATAACGAGAATGCGTGGCGTTGCCCCTGAGCCCTTGCGGGATCCGCCAGAGTTGCCCGAGTAAGGCTCGAACGCGTTTGGGACGTTTGCGAGGAATTGCTTCGCCGCAGCAGCGGAATCCACGGACGAGACGGAACCCACGGAGCTCCTGCGGGACCCGCCGTCCTTGGAATCGAAGGAGAAGGTCGAATCCGCTGAGCCCTTTCGGGACGGCGCGCCGTTGAGTGAGGGCACGGATGGCGCCTTGGAATTGAACGAGATGGTTGAGTCCATGGAGCCCTTCCGCGAGCCGCTTGGGTTGGGCGGAAGGGGCTTCTGAGGTCCCCCCTTGATAACGAGAATGCGCGGCGTCGCCACGTGCGAGTCGGCGCCGTCAACCTCGGCGGGTTTCGGCGTCTGAGGGCCAGTGGCCTCGGGCACGTTGCGCTGACCCGCGAAATCGAGGAGAGCCCGCCGAGCTTTCACAGCTGTGGCTTTCACAGACGAGACGGACTCCACGGAGCTCCTGCGGGATCCCCCGTCCTTGGAATCGAAGGAGAAGGTCGAATCCGCTGAGCCCTTTCGGGACGGCGAACCGCCGAGTGAGGGCACGGATGGCGCCTTGGAATCGAACGAGATGGTTGAGTCCATGGAGCCTTTCCGTGAGCCGCTTGGAGAGGGGGGGTTAGACGCGACAGGGAAGCTCTTCGGGTCGAAAGGAGTTGGAGGAAGGGGCTTCTGAGGAGGGTCCCCCTTGACCTTGCCGAGGGCGCGGCGCGGCGCCGCTGAGACTCCAGCAAGGAGGCTCAGAGTCGCGGCGAGGACGAGGGCGAGCAGGAAGAGCGAGCGAAGCGCACCCATGGCTGCGTTTCTTACTGAAAGAAGCCTGAATAGGAAAGAAGAATCAGATCGCTGGGATGGCTGACGGTAGTTTCAGAGGCTTCTGGGAATATATTCCAAGGCGCTGGGATGGCTGCTACTACTAGTTCTAGTTGAATGAGGCCCGAATGATGATGATCTGCTTAGCTAGAGCGGAATTTTATACCACGAAGCATCGCGCCACACGGGCAGGCCAGTCTCGGTCTGCTGTCGTATTGCGTTTCGTGGCGTCTCGGTTTACTGCTGAGCCTAGAAGCGTCGGATGCGGCGCCGATGGTGGGGAGTTTTGGGTGATGGTGATGCTGAAAATGATATAAAAGGCAATAATGACGGCCCCGAATGTATGCGCGAGGCTGGTTGGGTTGTTTCTGACGAGGTCTGTTGTGCGAGTGAGAGTTTTTGGGGGGGAAGAGATGGGTTGGGGAAGGTGTTTGCTGATTACGAGAGGTGAAGAGGCGTAAGCAGGAGAACATGTTTCTGGACTGGACTCTGAGGCGATTCGCAGCTTGAGAAACTGGGCGCGCTGCGAAGGTTTTCAGATTGCGAGGTTTTCCGCGGCGGCATTCACGGCGGAACAGTAATTGCGAAACTCGATGCGTGATTCGTGAAACTTCGCACGAACCGCACATTCCGGCTCCTGCTCACCGTTAATACACACTACAGATCTGCTTCGCTAAAGACGAACAGACACTATAATGTCAACTATGCATGAATCTTACAAAAAACGAATGCACATGACTGCTATGGTTGATTTCTCAGCTTTCTTACGAACGAACTCATCCTGTTACGCCAGCAGGAACCATGGTTGATATTCCTGCTGCTATGGCTCCATCAACCTCTTGTTTTCCAGATTTTTTTATAAACGTAGCAGTCAATATATGGAAGCATATTGGGGTTGTGATTAAGAATGTCAAACTATGTTACTATGTCATTGTATCTATGTTTAGAAATGGGGTAGGCATTAGAGAGTATTACACTTACATACTTGTGGAATCTCCAGTCTGACCTATTCTGGACTCTGACCTAGTGCAAAGTTCTCCTCTCCACATGATGGTACAGAGTAGGTGTTTCCTCCCTCTCACGCTTCCACTCCCTCCCTTAGCTCTTGATAGTCGTTTTAAAACGAGGCGCCCGCCCCTTATGCTCGATTTCGCCGCCGTAGGTTAGGCCCCCCCACGCGGACTCACTGTGTCGCGGTTAGGACGACCCCCGCGGGCCCTCGTTTCGTCGCGATCAAAGGTCCCCGCGGGCCCTCGTTTCGTCGCGCTCCAGAAGGGCACCCCGGGGTCCGCGTAGTCGTGCTTAGAACAGCCCCCCCCGCAGGCCCGTCCCGTCGCACTTAGCTAAGTCCCCCGCGGGTCCTTCTCGTAGCCCCTGAGGCCCGTTCTGTCGCGCCTAAGTCGCCCGCCACTGCCAGCCCGCCACTGCGAGCCCGCCACTGCTACCTGTACCTGCCACTGCCAGCCTCCCTTTGCCAACCCGCCGCTACACCTGCCATTACAGCCGCCACAGCCTCTGCTGCCCGTGCCTACCTCTGCCAGCCTGCCTCTACTGCCCGTGCCTGCCCATGCCTGCCCGTGCCTGCCATTCCTGCCCGTGCCTTCTCGTGCCTGCCTGTGCCTGCTTGTGCCTGCCCGTGCCTGCCCGTGCCTGCCCGTGCCTGCCCGTGCCTGCCCGTGCCTGCCCGTGCCTGCCTCTGCCAGCTGACGGGGAGGATGGGGAGGGCGGGGGAGGGGAAAAGGGGGGAGGTGGAGTGGGTGGTGATTGGTGGGGGGGAGCAGGATGGGGAGAGGAGGGGGGAGAGAAGGTGGGAGGAGGGAGAACGGTGTTTAAGAATTTGAGAGAGAGAGAGAGAGAGAGAGAGAGAGAGAGAGAGAGAGAGAGAGAGAGAGAGAGGGAGAGAGAGAGAGAGAGAGAGAGAGAGAGAGAGAGAGAGAGAGAGAGAGAGAGAGAGTGGTGGGAGGGGAGGGGCAGGGGGAGAGAGACGAGTGGGTGGCAGTGAGAGAGGGGGACGGACGGGGCGGAGGGAGAGGAGGAGGAAGGGGGATGTGGAAGGGGAGGCGGAGAGGACGTTGGTGGGGGAGGAGGGCAAAGCAGAGGGGGAAAGACTGAGGTGAAGATTGCGGGGAGAAGAGAAGGGCAGGCAGAGGGAAGGGGAGAGAGAAGGGGAGAGGGAAGGGGAGAGGGAAGGGGAGAGGGAAGGGGCCGAAGTGGATCGTGGAGGAGAGGGAGAAGGCGAAGAGGAGGCGGATGGATGCCGTTCGCGGACGGATGGAGTGAAACAGAGGGCGGATTTGAAGCTGACTCACGTGATTGTATCGGAGAAGGACCATAAGAAGGTGAGGAGTGTATGATGTTCAAACTTCTGTTGATAGCTCTGTGAGGACTGAATGTATGTTACACATACAGCTATCATACAGCTGCGTTGCTCCGCTTGTAGCTTTCTGTGCTTGATAGGAGCAATAAAGTTGCATCACTGCCCCTCTCTCCCATCTGATATCGCTTTTTTCCTTCACAATGTAATCTCTTTTCCTCCACTGCCCCCTTCCCTCCTTCCAATGTCTCCCACTCGTCCATGGGCAGATCAAGAGGTTTTCTGTGCCCGAGCTGCCCAACATGTTCCGCAACCGGGCGGAGTACGCACGCAGCATCCGCAACCCCATTGGGCGGGACTTCAACACAGAAGCAGCGTTCCGCTCCATGACTCGCCCAGCGGTGAGTGTGCTTGCAGGCTGCAGGCTGAAGCTACAGGCTGCAGCTACAGGCTGCAGCTACAGGCTGCAGCTACAGGCTGCAGCTACAGGCTGCAGCTACAGGCTGCAGCTACAGGCTGCAGCTACAGGCTGCAGCTACAGGCTGCAGCTACAGGGGTGAGTGCAGAGAGGCAGTGGGGAGGGGAACTGATTAATGGTAGGGGTGCCAGTGCCAAAAGCAGCAGCTAAGCCCATTGGGCGGGACTTCAACACAGAAGCAGCGTTCCGCTCCATGACTCGCCCAGCGGTGAGTGCAGAGGCGGTTGGGAGTGCTGCACAGCATAGACACAGGGCAGGGCAGCTGGACTTGTGAGTGCAGTGCGGACACAGGAGCGCAAAGGGTTACAGCGGCGAGGGAAGTAGAGAGTCCAAGGGAGCACAGAAGCAGCGTTCCGCTCTGCCTGGCAGTGACCCGCCTGGCAGTGAGTGACCCGCCTGGCAGTGAGTGACCCGCCTGGCAGTGAGTGACCCGCCTGGCAGTGAGTGACCCGCCTGGCAGTGAGTGACCCGCCTGGCAGTGAGTGACCCGCCTGGCAGTGACTGCAGGGCAGACCCCGCCAGCAGTGAGTGTGTGCTGACAGGGGCGAGTGTTGACTTTTGGTGAAAAAATCATGGGAGCGCACAGGGTAATGTGATCCATGTTCAGGGACCATGGGAGCGCAGAAGCAGCGTTCCGCCCCATCACCCGCCCTGAAGTGTGTGCAATGCAGACCCAACAGTGAGTACTGATGATGACCACCTTACAGCAACAGGCTTCTGAGGTAAGCTCGTGGAAGCAACAGGCTTCTGAGGTAAGCTCGTGGAAGCAACAGGCTTCTGAGGTAAGCTCCTGGAAGCAACAGGCTTCTGAGGTAAGCTCCTGGAAGCAACAGGCTTCTGAGGTAAGCTCCTGGAAGCAACAGGCTTCTGAGGCATCTTACTACTGAGGTGCCTCAATGCTAGTCAGATGAGGAGCTTAGTGGAGCCACGTGAAAAAACACTCCTTTTTTCACTTAGTGGAGCAGGAGCTGAATATCCCCTTTTTGAGGCGCCTCAAAAATTGCCCAAATAACTGGCTTCTGAGATGCCTCAAAGTTTGTCGGATGAGGGGCTTAGTGGAGCAGGAGCTGAATATTCCCTCCTCTTCTCACCTCTTCTCACCTCTCCTCGCCTTTTTTCAACTTCTCTCACCTTTTTTCATGTCGGCTGTTGTGTGATTGCTCTGTGTGCATTGTGCATGCATTCTTTGCGATGATGTGTTCGTTTCCGCAGGTCATGAAGCCAGTGGGGGTGGTCATTCTACCTGTCAGATACGTAAAAAAATGCACAACCCAGTGACAAGGAGCCAACAGGAGCCTGGGCTGAACGCTCCGAGGTGACTTTTGAGTCGACTCAAAAGCCTGGGCTGAACGCTCCGAGGTGACTTTTGAGTCGACTCAAAAGCCTGGGCTGAACGCTCCGAGGTGACTTTTGAGTCGACTCAAAAGCCTGGGCTGAACGCTCCGAGGTGACTTTTGAGTCGACTCAAAAGCCTGGGCTGAACGCTCCGAGGTGACTTTTGAGTCGACTCAAAAGCCTGGGCTGAACGCTCCGAGGTGACTTTTGAGTCGACTCAAAAGCCTGGGCTGAACGCTCCGAGGTGACTTTTGAGTCGACTCAAAAGCCTGGGCTGAACGTTCCCTCCCTTCCTCACATTTCTGTGTGTGTTTTGCGTGTGCTGTGCTTGTGTTTCCGCAGGTCATGAAACCAGTGGGGGTGGTCATTGAACCAGTCAGATATGTCAAGAACGCACAACCCAGCAAAGAAGAAGGCAAAGGGAGGGGAGAAGGCAAAGGGAGGGGAGAAGGCAAAGGGAGGGGAGAAGGCAAAGGGAGGGGAGAAGGCAAAGGGAGGGGAGAAGGCAAAGGGAGGGGAGAAGGCAAAGGGAGGGGAGAAGGCAAAGGGAGGGGAGAAGGCCAAGGGAGGGGAGAAGGCCAAGGGAGGGGAGAAGGGAAAGGGAGGGGAGAAGGCAAAGGGAGGGGAGAAGGCAAAGGGAGGGGAGAAGGCAAAGGGAGGGGAGAAGGCAAAGGGAGGGGAGAAGGCCAAGGGAGGGGAGAAGGCAAAGGGAGGGGAGAAGGCAAAGGGAGGGGAGAAGGCAAAGGGAGGGGAGAAAGCAAAGGGAGGGGAGAAGGCAAAGGGAGGGGAGAAGGCAAAGGGAGGGGAGAAGGCAAAGGGAGGGGAGAAGGGAAAGGGAGGGGAGAAGGGAAAGGGAAGGGAGAAGGGAAAGGGAGGGGAGAAGGGAAAGGGAGGGGAGAAGGCAAAGGGAGGGGAGAAGGCAAAGGGAGGGGAGAAGGGAAAGGGAGGGGAGAAGGCAAAGGGAGGGGAGAAGGGAAAGGGAGGGGAGAAGGGAAAGAGACGAGAGAAGGGCAAGGGTAGTCACGGCAACAAGCATGCAAGAGGGAGGGGCGGCGGCGGCGGTGGTACCGGTAATGGTGGTGGGAAGGCGAAGGGAGTGGGAGGAGCAAACCGTGCTAAGCCTTCCAAATAATAGCTTTGTGATAAGTGTTATTGATTAACATAAGGGCTTTTGGGATCTCTAAGGTGAATCGTTGCATTTTGGAAATCCTTTGTGAGGGCTCTTCTAGATGTGATAGTGCAATTGGGGAATGGCAGACTTGTAATAAAAAAAAAACAGAGCATGGAATTATTGGAAGGGATCACACACACACACACACACACACACACACACACACACACACACACACACACACACACACACACACACACACACACACACACACACACACACACACACACTAGCAACTAGCATGGAATGGAACTCTTTTATTCTGACTGTCCAGTCCAGCCCACCAAAAGACAAGCAAGAGCAACAAAAAAGAAAAGCAACAAGAAGCAAATAGCACACAAGAGCAAGCAGAAATCAACATTACCCCTAACCTCTAACATGCCCCACCAACACGACTGCTAAAGCAGCACTCATGAGCCACCCAATCTGCTGTGATACACAGGATCCTGTGAAGTACCCGTGCTCTCCAATCGGTTTCAATCCCATACCACCGCACCACAGCAGCCTGGCACCACAGCAGCCTTTCACCACAGCAGCACTGCAGCAGTACCTGTGCCCTCCACGTGGCCTCTTCACTCTACGCCAGCACACAAGGAGAAAAAGGCCTCTATTTCCCAACAGCCGTGGGGGTGGACGTCGAAGGGCCGCCGGAGGTGGCCGCGAGGACGCGCGGAGCCGCCGTGGGGGTGGACGTCGAGGGGCCGCCGGAGGTGGCCGCGAGGACGCGCGGAGCCGCCGTGGGGGTGGACGTCGAAGGGCCGCCGGAGGTGGCCGCGAGGACACGCGGAGCCGCCGTGGGGGTGGACGTCGAAGGGCCGCCGGAGGTGGCCGCGAGGACGCGCGGAGCCGCCGTGGGGGTGGACGTCGAGGGGCCGCCAGAGGTGGCCGCGAGGACGCGCGGAGCCGCCGTGGGGGTGGACGTCGAGGGGCCGCCGGAGGTGGCCGCGAGGACGCGCGGAGCCGCCGTGGGGGTGGACGTCGAAGGGCCGCCGGAGGTGGCCGCGAGGACGCGCGGAGCCGCCGTGGGGGTGGACGTCGAGGGGCCGCCGGAGGTGGCCGCGAGGACGCGCGGAGCCGCCGTGGGGGTGGACGTCGAGGGGCCGCCGGAGGTGGCCGCGAGGACGCGCGGAGCCGCCGTGGGGGTGGACGTCGAAGGGCCGCCGGAGGTGGCCGCGAGGACGCGCGGAGCCGCCGTGGGGGTGGACGTCGAGGGGCCGCCGGAGGTGGCCGCGAGGACGCGCGGAGCCGCCGTGGGGGTGGACGTCGAGGGGCCGCCGGAGGTGGCCGCGAGGACGCGCGGAGCCGCCGTGGGAGTGGACGTCGAGGGGCCGCCGGAGGTGGCCGCGAGGACGCGCGGAGCCGCCGTGGGGGTGGACGTCGAAGGGCCGCCGGAGGTCGTCGCGAGGACGCGCGGAGCCGCCGTGGGGGTGGACGTCGAAGGGCCGCCGGAGGTGGCCGCGAGGACGCGCGGAGCCGCCGTGGGGGTGGACGTCGAAGGGCCGCCGGAGGTGGCCGCGAGGACGCGCGGAGCCGCCGTGGGGGTGGACGTCGAAGGGCCGCCGGAGGTGGCCGCGAGGACGCGCGGAGCCGCCGTGGGGGTGGACGTCGAAGGGCCGCCGGAGGTGGCCGCGAGGACGCGCGGAGCCGCCGTGGGGGTGGACGTCGAAGGGCCGCCGGAGGTGGCCGCGAGGAGGGCGCGCTTCGCGCCCTGCGGAGCCGCCGTGGGGCTGGACGTCGAAGGACCGTTAGAGTTCGTGGGGACTGCAGCGAGGAGCCTCCTGAGGGCGCGCCAAGCGCCCTGCGGAACCGTGGAAGTTTTTGTTTCTGGCTGCGCCACTGCGGGGACTGCTGCGAGGAGGTTGAGAGTCGCGGCGAGGAGCAGGGCCAGCAGGAAGAGAGATCGAAGCGCACCCATGATTGTTGCTGGTTAGGAGAAGGCTGTGAGTAGCGGTAACTGAGCTCGATAGATTAGACGGAATGAGTTTTAGAGGTGGGTTGGTTGCTGCCACTATCGTTGGCTAGAAGGCTTGAGTGAGAAGGTTACCAATTCGAGCAGTATTTATACCTAAGGCCAGTGGGCCAGCCAGGCAGGCCGATTTCGGTTTTGCTGATGTGGTGCGGCTCGACATTATTCGACGCGAGTCGATACGTCTCGTAGCGCCTCAGTTCATTGCTGAACCTTGCAGCATCAGATGCGGCGCAGACCACCAGGGAGCTTGGACAGTGTGACGATCTGGAGTGACATATAATTTTCACTTTCTGATGCGTTCAGAGTTCAGAGTGTTTGTGGGCTGGTTGGGTTCCTGCTTGCTTACGGGTTGACTTGCATGAGGGGAATGGGGAGTGCGGGTGGGCTGGTTGGGTTGGGTTCCTGCTGACGAGATGATTTGGTGAGGGGGATGGGGGAAAAAGATGGGTTGGGGAAGTTTTTTGACGATAAGGAGAGGTAAAGAGATTTTTCAGAAGGCCTTGGCCTTTCAACGAAGCGCTTCGGAGTTGGTAACTGCTGCAGGCAAGAGTTTCTTTCTGGGTTGTGTGGGGTCACAATTTCTGCGGCGGCTTTCGCGGCGGAACAGTAATTGCTAAGAAAGCGATGCACATTTCTCACAAGCACCGCACATTGCGTTGCGACTCGTGCTTTGCAAATTGCACAGACTTTAGACATGCTCAATAATGGTACTCTGATTCCAGCTAAGCCTGAAGGAACATACATTATGAATACATTTCGCGAGCAGTAATGAATCAACAGTATTCCGTTATGCTAAATGAGAGTACTATTCTAATTGCGAAATGAGACTTATTGCATGTTGTTGGGCTGAGATAGCCCCTTAGGATCTTTGCAAGGGATAACTCTAGGTAAAGTAGTTGTAATAGCGGAAGCGTTTAGTAAAGAATTTGAACCGACCTTGCACTGGTGTGTGAGAGCAAAGTTGATTGAATTAAACAAGCAAATACAAGGATTTATATAAGAGTACAGGGAATACGAATAGATATGTAGATAATTGTATTGCTGTTGCGGTTCGATACAGTGCGACTCGGGCAACTGCTCTGTAACGAGTCAGTTGTGTGTCCTTAACTGTCGCGCTGTAATTGTCGAGCGACCTTTGACTTTCTCATAACCTCCAGGCGGTTACCCTAACCTCCGAGGTTGACTCGATGCTTCGATTGGGACTGCTTCGCTTGGTGCCTTGGGTTTTGATACGACAGAAGCGCACTTAGGACTTATTGTTTCCAACACTCCCCTTCGCTTCTGGAGTGTCGCTGCTGGTGACGTGGCCTTGTCCAGTCAGCATCATGCAGTATTCGAACTTCTGCTTTCCGAGTTTCTTGGTCAAGTAATCGGCTGCCATCTCGGATGTTGGGCAGTATGACAGATCGAGTTTCCCTTTTTCTATCTCGTCCTTCACGAAGAAATAGCGCAGGGCGATGTGTTTCGTCCTGTTTGCGAAGCCGTTTTTGTTGGCGATGCGAATTGCTGACTGGTTGTCGCAGAACACGGTGAAGCTGGGTAACTCGGCTAGCTTCGCTTCTTCCAGTAGTTCGCGAAGGTAAAGTCCCTCCTTGGTGGCTGAGCAGAGTGCAATATATTCTGCTTCTGCTGAAGATAGTGCGATTAACTCCTGCTTGCTCGACTGCCAGGAGATAGGACCGATAGGCTCAAGGCGGTAGACATAGCCGGTGCGTGAGCGCCTGTTGTCGGTGTCGCCGGCGTGATCGGCGTCGACGTAGCCGATTAGCTTAGTTGGTGTAGCTGCGTTCTTGTGGTAGGTTAGCCCGATCGTCGTGGTGCTGACGAAGTAGTGGAGAGCGCGATCAAGTTCCGCCAGGTGTTCAGCTTCAGGCTTCTTGAGATAGGTGGCGAGCTGACTTGCGGAGTAGGATAAGTCAGGACGGCAGGTGACGGCGGCGAATAGCAGGCATCCGAGCTTCTTCTGATAGTCGCGTATGCCGGCGGGCTTGAGTAGAGTAGTTCGTTCCTTCTCGGTTCCTGATGTGTAGCGGTAAGGCGTGGAGATGGCGCTTGGTGTGAGGCTGAAGCGTTTCGCGATGGTGTCAGCGTATTTCTCGGCGCTTAGATAGATGGCGTTTTCTTCTTCGCGGATGTTGAGCCCGAGGTACTGTGTAACGGTGGAGGAGACCGTGAGCGTGAGGTCTTTCTGGAGGTCTCCTTCGAACCACGTGGCGATGCCGTCGGTTGACCCAATGTAGAGGAGATCGTCCACGTAGACGATCAGGAGAACGTAGTCGCTTCCCTTAGTGAGACGGTACATGCCTTGGTCGTGAGGTAGTTGACAAAAGCCGATGCGGATGAGACGGGCGTGCAGGTACTGTTGCCACAGTCGCGGTGCCTGCTTGATCCCGTAGAGCGACTTAAGTAGTTGACAGATTCGATTGGGTTCGCCGTGGGAACCGTGCGGGAGCTCGACGTAGATTTCTGCATCCACAGGTGCGTAAAGGAAGGCATTCGCGACGTCGATCTGCCGTAACTTCTTCTTCTTCATGGCGGCAATGGCGAGGAGAATTCGGAGTGACGTGTGGCGGCTGACTGGAGCAAAGGTCTCGGTGAAGTCTCGTCCTTGCTCTTGGTCGAATCCACGTACGACCCAGCGTGCTTTGAATTTTTCGATTGTGCCGTCTGCTTTCGTCTTGATGCGGAAGACCCATTTCCCGGTAAGGATGGTTTTGTTCCGTGCCACGCTTACGGGAACAACCTTCCAAGTGTTGCGTTCCTCTAATGCCTTCAGTTCTCTATCCATGGCTTCACGCCATTTCTCCCTGTGTTCCCCCCCCAGAGCCTGCTGAACCGTTGCAGGCTCCTTAGGAAGCGAGCTGCGTGTGTTCCCGTGGACTGCGGTGACGAGGCCGAGGATTTGCAGTCCAGTCTGTGAGTATCGAGGGAGTTCTGGATCCTCGGGATAAGCTGCTTCGTCTCCTGCTTCTGGATCAGGTATGAAATTCGGTCCTATCCTTTCTGCTTCATTTGTGTTGACGGTTGCAGGTGTTACGTAACCGGTGTCGGCGAAGTGGTAGAAGACTTCGGCGTTGTTACTGTCGCGAGGATTTTCTTCGTCCATGGGCACGTTGACGGAGCAGTACGGGAGAGGTCCGGCTTCTGCCGATGCGTTGTCAACATTCTGCTCGTCCCAGTCTGCTTCATCCGCTGCTGACGCGAAGGCTCGGTCACCACGAAAACCACTGGTGAGATCCCGATTCTCGTGCAAGTTGGCGAGGTACGTCTGAAGGGTGAGTCTTTCGTAGAAGATCACGTCACGTGCTGCTACTGTTTCCTTTGTGTGGACGTCGAAGATTCTCCATGCGTTGTAATTTTTCTCGATGCCGAGGTGTAGTCCCCACTGTGCCCGTTGCGAAAATCTTCCCGCTCGTGCTTCTGGGGGTCTGTACTGTACCATGCACCCGAAAACTCGTAACATTTTCGTGCTGCCCTGCTTCCCTGTCCATAGCAGATGCGGTGATGCGTTGTTCGGGAGTGACGACGACGACAACAAGTTGTGCAGCATGACAGCGTGGTCCATTGCTGCTGGCCACTGGTGGTTGGGTAGCCGCATGCCACGTAACAGTTTGCGCATGCTGTTCTGCAGGGTCCTGTTCAGTCGTTCTGCAACACCTTGCTGCTGATGTGCGTAGGGAAGGGAGAGAAGTTGCTTGATCCCCCTTTCCGCCAAGAACTGCTTGAAGCGGTGAGAGGTGTACTCGCCACCTCCGTCTGACTGAAAATTTTTCAGTTGTGTTCCAGACTCTCTCTCTGCTATCGGTAGCCAGGCGGCGAATGCTGCGAGCGCCATGTCGCGGCTGGGTAGGTTGCGATGCCAGACGTATCGAGTGGCGGCGTCGATGAAGGTGATGGTGTAGTTGTAGTTGACTTGTCCTGGTTCGCGATTGTAGAGGATGTCGCTGTAGACTTTTTCGAGTGGTGCGTACGCTGGAGCGCTCGGGTTGTGATGTGAAGCAAACGGTCGATGAGGTAAGTCAGCTTCGGGACATATAAGGCAAGTCCCTCGTGCCTTCTGGAGTTCTCTGCCATCGGGTAGAAGTAGAGAATCTTTGTCAAGGACTCCTGCTCTTATCGTGTTATTCAAAACCGTGTTGCTTGGATGTCCTGTTCGTGCGTGCCAGATCTCTTCAGAGGCGCGGTGTCCAGGTGAACGCTGATATGCGTCGGAGTTGGAGTAAAAGCTGGTGACGAGGTTGGCGCTTCGGTGGACTTCACGTTGAGTCGGATTCAGCTGTTGCGCGGGTGTTGGTGGTGCTTCGTCGATTGTGACTGGTGTCGTTGTTTCTGCTGCTGCTGATGTTGTTGCTGCTGCCGATGTTGTTGCTGCTGATGCCGATGTTGTTACTGCTGCCGATGTTGTTGCTGCTGCTGCTGATTGTCGAATTGTTGCTAATGCTCGTGTTCGTTCTGCTTCAGGAATGGTGTGCGAGTACCAGAAGCCTCCCGGGCTGAAGTCGGGGTCGAGATCCGGAGGATGTGTCCAGTCAGTGAAATTCACGATGGCGTCGCTGTCTGCAGTGCCCAGGTCAGGAACGAAGTCGAGGACGAAGACGTTGTTCTTCAGCACTGCTTTTCCGATGTAGAGACCGCCTCTCCCGTGGTAAAGCTTGAACTCCTGGGTCGTGCTGTCAGCTTCCAGATGAATTCCTTTCGCCATCAACTGGCTAACGCTCAGTAAGTTGTAGCCGAGTCCTTCAGCGATGAGTACCTTAGACATGTGCAGTATGACATTGGTTTCTCTTGACTGAAGCTGTACCACTCCTTGTCTTCGTGTGCGCAGGTTTTGGTTGTTGGCAACCGTGATGATTACTTCCCGTTGGAGTCGATGTTCGCGTTGTACGAAACGCCCGGACGAGCACATGTGTTGCCCGCAGCAACTGTCCAAGAACCAGGTGTCTTGGCCGGACGGCTCACTTTGAGCGATGGCGGCGTACGTTGGATTCGGCTGGAGTAGCTCACGGCGAGGCGTTCTGTTGTCAAGCTCTTCTTCCGGTGAGTAGTGTGGTGGTGATTCGGTTGTACACGAATCGGTTATCTTCGTCATGCAGTTGATTATATTTCTTGCTCCTCGTGCAGGTTGTCCGGGTGAAGTCGTTGAAGCTTGAATAGTGGTCGTCGCACTTGCTTGTGTTGAAGCCATTTGGGAACTTGAAGGTCGAAGTTGTCGCTGTGGTGCCGTTGATTGCTGACGATTCGGGCAGTGTGTGCGCGGGTGCCCTGAAGTCTTGCAGATGTGGCAGAAAGGAGGTACTATCTTCGGTTGCTGCTGTCGGTTGTTATAATTGCTGTGTCGTCGTTGAGTGTGGAATGCGAACTCTGATACTGTCGTTTTCTTCCTGTGTCGTTCTTCCTGCAGGTCCATATCTTGCTGCTCGGCATGTATTTCGGCGCAGAGTGCAGCTTCAGAGATTCTTCCGTGGGCTCGAAGAATGGCTTTGGTGGCGCGCCACTGAGGACCAAGCCCACCAATGATGACTGACACGAAGGCGTCTTCAGAGATTGACCCTCCGCATCGAAGCAGCTTGTCGCGCAGTTCGCGACATCGGCTGATATACGCTAGTCCTTTTTCTCCTGGTTTCATTTCGACTGTCGTCAACTGCGCCATTAACCTGCTCTGGTTTACACTGTCTGTTGCTTGATACAGGTTCTTCAGATGGCTGTACGCGAGCTCCGCCGAGTTGCCGAAGGTCCGGTAAGAGCGAATGTTCTGCTGCTGAGTTGGTGTCACGTTCCTCAATAGGATTGTATACGCCATCATTGATTGATACGTATACTGCTGCTTTTCATATTGTGTCCCGTTGGCTGGATACTGCAGGGACCCGTCGAAGAAGCCGAGTATCTGCGCGCCCTCCATCATCAGCTCGAATTCAAAGGACCAGGTAAAGAAGTCTTTGCCGTCGAAGGGTCTTGATGTTTGCAGTTTTAAGACGTGTCCAAACTGCGACTGAACTTGAAGTGCGTCCAGTGGTCTTTCTTGTCCAGGTGAAGGTTGCGGGTGGGGCACGAAGCTGATTGACCCGCGCTCGTACGGAGCAAAGGTAGGTTGCTGCTGCTGGTTTCCTCGCGCATATGACGACCCATCAAGACTCATGGGTGTCGCTCCGTTGTTGCTGTTGTGTGTTTGTGCAGGTCCCGACTGCTGGTGTTGTTCGTAGAAGGACATGAAGGAGAAAAATTTCTCCATCATGTTCTGGTCAAAGTCCGAAGGGTGGTTCATGGGGGTCTCGGTTGACGTTCCTCTTGGTCTTGTTGCCGTGCCTTCTTCTGTCTGCAGGCCAGAGGCTGGCGGTGGAGTAGGAGTAGTGCCTGAGGAGCCATTAGGGGAGCTCCTTTCCTTGTTTGTTGCCATGTCTTGTAATGATCTTGAAAAAGGAGTAGAGTTTCCCTTGTCAGCTCTCATACCATGTTGGGCTGAGATAGCCCCTTAGGATCTTTGCAAGGGATAACTCTAGGTAAAGTAGTTGTAATAGCGGAAGCGTTTAGTAAAGAATTTGAACCGACCTTGCACTGGTGTGTGAGAGCAAAGTTGATTGAATTAAACAAGCAAATACAAGGATTTATATAAGAGTACAGGGAATACGAATAGATATGTAGATAATTGTATTGCTGTTGCGGTTCGATACAGTGCGACTCGGGCAACTGCTCTGTAACGAGTCAGTTGTGTGTCCTTAACTGTCGCGCTGTAATTGTCGAGCGACCTTTGACTTTCTCATAACCTCCAGGCGGTTACCCTAACCTCCGAGGTTGACTCGATGCTTCGATTGGGACTGCTTCGCTTGGTGCCTTGGGTTTTGATACGACAGAAGCGCACTTAGGACTTATTGTTTCCAACACATGTGACGTCGTAAAACGACCTTAATTCCGAACTATTGTTCGTGTGATACACAAGAGTGGGTACCAAACTAACTGAAGCATGAGCAGATGTAGTGAGAATGAGTTATCTGGTTTAACGGCTTCAAAAGGTACACGAATTATGGTAAGTCTCCTTCGAGTGCGCTCGTAGTGAGTACATGTGCAAGTGCAATTAGGTTCCAGCGCAGCAGGTGATGCTAATGACGTGGCGAGCTTGTGTCGGCCCTTCTCGCCTCGCTTTTAACGCGCGCTTTAGCGACATGCTACTGCCCGTCCATGACACCCCCAGCACGCGCCACGTCGGTGCTAGAGCCTGCTCTGCTTTCTCAGTCTCATAGCGAGCAGAAGAGCTGGGGTAGCTGGTGAGGTGGTGAGGTGTTGAGGTGGTGAGGTGGTGAGGTGATGAACTAGTAGTGAACAGCTGTACTCTCTGACATCTGGCTCTATTTCCGTCGCGACTCGCCATGTGTTGAGCCTAGAAAGAGCGCATGACAAAAAATTCGTGCGTCCCGATGGAGTCGATCGGAAATTCGATTCGCTGCTGTCGCCGATGCGAGCCCCACCGTCGAATCAAGAAGCGGAAGCAGCGTAGAAAAGCAGCTGCAGTAACCATGAGCAAACTCATCCGGAGCTCGAAATCCTCATATCGTGTAACCACCTCTGCATAAGCCGCCACTCTTTCAGAACGAACGAACGAACAACAGCTGAGCAGCAGCACTTTCTCAGCAGCCGTTCCTGCTCGCTAGCAGTAGTTGCAACCTCCCTTGTCTGTCAAAGAGAAAAATCACTAGTGACGTCATGGCTAGCTTGGGTTTGGCTCCTGCTCCGTCTAAGGTTCAATTCCTTGGCGGTAGCAGGAATCATCTCTCGGGTCCTACCATGAGTCAGAAGCGCGTAGCCACTCCTTATTCCGCGAAGTCATTTCCTCCAAAGCGGAATTCAGTGGCTGCTCAGAGTTCTAGCCGTGGGGTGTCTTTCAGGGATGGGGAGATGGCTGGTGTTGGACAGGCACGGCTGACTGCTTCAGGCAGGAACTCGATGGGAATGGCTGCTAAGTCTCGCGTTCAGGTACTGTAGAATTGTCTTCACTTTTGAGTAGTTTCCCTCCGAAGAGCAAGTAGATGCAGCCTGACCTGGAAATTTTTTGTTTGTTTTCCTCCTATTCTGCCTCTTATTTTGCAATTCACCTCATGTTATCTCCACAACCCACTTTCCTAATCTCACAGGTGAGATTGTTCGGCCCGGCAGTCTTTGAGTCAAAGAAGCTTCAGGTGGTGTTCATGGGAGCAGAGGAGGAGCAACATCCAGCACACGCGCCACTGCCCCGGATGTACACTTTCACCCACTCGGACGTCACTGCTGGGCTCACCCTCGCCATTGCGCACGAATTCAACAAATCTCAGGTGAGTTTGAGTCGGGCCGTGATGGAACAGTCTAAATTACTTTCTTGCCTATTTTGTCCATTGCATACTGCATGTTTTTATTGCGAGAACATGTCTTCTCGCATTTCAGGACTTGTCGATGTGGGATTCAGGTATCTTTTTTCTTTTTTCTTTTCTTCTCTTTTCTTTCATTGGCATGGTACAGTTCATGGGCTGGTACTCTCGGCTGCAGAGGGACGAGGTGCTTGCAGTGTGGCGCCAGCACTGCAGCTTAGCAGACTTCCGTTCGCCCTACTTGAGGGACCCTTGGCAAGAGGTTCACCCGGAGCATGCTTGCAATGGCTCAGACTGCCACATGTCACTCCACGTCCACTGCCACATCAGTGGAGGTCATTTCCTGCTGAACGCCATTGCAGCCCTGAGATTCTGGATCTTCAGGAAGGAGCTTCCAGTCGTTTTGGAGGCGTTCCGACACGGTGATAGGGCACTCTTCGATAAGCATCCAGGTATGCATTTGATAAGCACATGCCATGGCTGTTCCATGGCTGTTCCAAGTTAAGTGGGATGATATTACACAAGCTGTTCTTGTGTTTTCAGACCTTGAGGATGCGCTGGTGTGGGTACACTTCCATTCAAACATTCCGGAGTACAACAGGCACGAGTGCTGGGGACATCTGCATTCAGCAGCCCAGGTAAGAGCTGTACTTCTGAACTTCAGGCTTTTGTTGTGGGGGAATTCAACTGTACTTATGTCCATGCCAATTATGAACTTCATATTCCACTCTGCCCACTGTGCCTCACCTTGCAGACTGGAGCAGAGAAGACACAATCTCAACTCAGCTACGGGGCACAAAGAGTGGCCGAAGCTATTGGTATAGCAGCTGAGAAGGAGCATCAGTGGCCGGTTGAAGAGATAAGAGTGGCTATGGCAGGCTTCGAAATCCCTCCACCTCCATATGAGGGTGATAGCAACTAAGCAACTAGGGTAGTTTGTTCCCAGTGTAAAGCCTAGCTGCTAGGAAGCATGCCATGCCATTTTTTGCTCTTGCTTGTTCGGGCACTAGTTCCGGCGCTTGAGTTTGCTGTGTACATAGTTTGTTGTGCATTACGATGTAGTCTGTTAAATTGTTGTGTGTAATTCTTTCTGTAAATAGTAAATGTGTTGTAATACAATCTCATACTCTTGATAGGTACATACTACTCAACATGAGTACCCAGCCGCAACTGGATTGTTGCCATTTTCTCAGTGAAACGTTCTTAATCCTTTGCGTCTACGACTCCTCCGTTGGCAATTGCGAAGGTAGCTTCAGATTCAGGCAAATTTGGCGAGTCGATGACCTTGCATATGCGCTGCTCCCCCTTGCCCTTGCGGAACATCAACCGCACGGTGGATGCATGAGCCATAACATGACCTCCAGCAGGCTTCTTGGGGTCAGCTACGAATGTTCCTCCTCCGGGGTCAGCAATGACTGCCAATTCAGCACGGAATGACACATGTTAGTTTAGAACGCTGAGTCTCCCGTTGGAAGTACACTCAGTGGCGACTGCTTTACCTTGGTTGGTAAGAAAGACAGCCACGTTAAACTCCTCAGAAATCTTCGTGATTCTTGAGAGCATTTGCGCCAGTTTTTGCTGTAAAGCGAAACAGTGTCAGGAAAACATAACTGATTTATGTTGGGCTTATTAGTCGTTTCTTACCTGTCTCTCCGCTAGTTCTCCACGCCCCGTGAAGTCCACCCTGAACAAAGCTGTGATGGAGTCGATGATCTGTCCAGACGTAATGATTTCCAATGAGCCATTGAAATTGGGTAAGTTAAATGGTTATGAAACGGTAACCGGAAGCGAAGATGCTCACCAGCAGCTTGAAGGGCTCTTCAGCCATCTTTGCGGCAAGTGCAATGAGAAGCTGGTATTGATGCTCGTGCGTGTAAGCTCGAGCGAATATGATCTGCATTACGACGAGAATCAGTGTAACAGACTTACGTACATACATGGTCCCTAAAAAATCATTTGCTTACATTGTCAAGCACGGCATTTGGATCCAAGCCAAATCTCTCGGCGATTGGAACAATTCTCTCTGGACGGCTGATTCACAAACAGGCAAGTATAAGTAACTTGCAACTTGATACATCCATCAAAACAACTTCTGATTTAATGATCACTTACAATGTTCCTTCGGTGTCAATGAAGGCCACTTTGCCATTGCCACCTTTCATGTTGATTGGCAGCTGCGCAGCGGATAGTTCAGGTAGTTAGCAAACGTTGCTTTTCTCAAAATGTACCTGTCATCTTTCACGTAGCATACCTGTGTTGCCACACATAATGTGTGTGCAAGTTGAGTCTTGCCCGTCCTGGAAGGCGTAAACCTGTTAGGTCCAATACCACCACGTGGGGCAGCAAACAAATATTCATGGGCAGCACTTACCGAAATTCACCAAAAGCTTCAGTTATGGCCATGGTCTCAATGCCACCTGGAAACGTGACATGGTCAATGGTCGTGAGGCCTAGGCCTACTGAAGAAAGAAAGTAACCCCAAATAAAATGCATGACGGCGAACCTCCAAGGAGATCGTCCAAGGCCTGGCTTCCTGTCGTGATCCTTACGACTTGTTTCCTCTGATAGTAATAGGTCATGAGTGAGGGTGCTCACGGAACTTCATGAAGCTAATGGGGCATGTGGGCATGAACCCTTACCAGGTTAAGAGCTTCGTTTCCCGTAACGTAGCCACAGTTCTGTAACCAAAATGAATCAAACAATAGGTTATAGCCGCCGCTGTAAGATGCGAATGTAGCGGACTTTGAAGAAACTCACCACTAGTTTACCCGCGGCCTCAAGAATCTTCTCGACTTTGGCATCGGAAAGACCCTTGATGTCACAGAGGGCCTGCGAAGAAAGGCACGGTGGGTATCGAGGGTACCACCATTTTCCAGACTGATAGGAATCCCGGTAATATAGCTACCTTCTTTGTCCACATCATCAGTCCATTGCAAGTGTAAACTCCAGCATCCTGAAGTTTCTTAACGTCTCCAGCATTAATTCCCTGCGTGATCACTGTCGAGAACGTCAACCCCTCGTTACAGCACCCTGAAGTCCTTCAATGTTTGGATGCCTACACTTCTCAATTGACTCAAATGTTTCTTCTTCATCTTCAGATTCCTGGGCAGCATCAACCACATGGGGAGCTTGTTCTGCCACGGCTTCCGACCTGAAGAAACAAAATGTTCGTGAATGAAAGGCTAGGGGGTTGGAGTGGACACGGATTGCCTAAACAGCCGCTTACATGTTTCTGTTTGATCGAAGTGGAGCTCGAAGTGAAGCAATACGTGACTCAAGGGTCACGGCTGAAGCAACGACAAGGAGTCGGCTTGATCTCCCCTGAAGGTATCTGTTGCGTCAGGATGTTGAACTGAAAATGAGATGCTTGGAACTCTCTCTCGACTTGAGCCAAAACGAATCTCGGCAATTCGAAAAGCGGGAAGCTGGTCCTTCGGGATGATCCATCATTTGGTTGGTCACACCAATATTATCCCGATGAAACGCGATTCGGAACATAAGAAGCAATGTGAGCTGTGTACACTCGAGAACCAAGTGAGGTACAAAGATTATTGTTTGCTCTTACATCTAGAGAATGGACATACTGGCTACATCTAAAGTTAAAACTCAAATCAGCAGAGTTAATTCAATAACACCTTGTAAATCTACGCACATAAAAAATTATTCCCAGAACCTCTGTTTATCATAATGAAATATGTGTACAACATGAAAATACAAACCAACCAGATTACAATAGAAGCGTGTGTTGGGGTGTTCTACACTGACACCGCGTGTCTCCTAGCTAACTTCAAGAATTGAACTTTCCAAGCAGCCGACACACGCGGCTGGGATGGAGGAGCTTCTCAAGCAGCTGCCACACATGTCAAAGGATTACCAGCAGGAGCCTGGAACCCGTTGTCACACTTGCACACATATTTCGGCTTGGCTGCTGCTGCCACCGACGTATCCACAACACACACCCCATTGCCGCCACATTGGCCCACTGGAGTCCCTGTTCCGCAGAACGCGCTACACTGCTCAGGAAGCCTCTGACCCTCAGCTGTACACTCCGCATCCCCCACACCGTCAGTCGTGAGACAGTTCCCCTCCACCAGAACCTTCTCAGGATACTCAGCAGGGCAGACTTGAGATGTGCCAGGGTAGTCCTCCGACCCGGGCACCTGAATAGTCAACTGCGTGCTGCCCTCAAAATAATTACCGGATAAGTCCAGGAGAACGCTGAACATGTAGCACGAGATGCTGTCGGAGCCATCAGGACCCGGAGAGCCACAGCCCTGCCCAAGGTTCGGAAATTGAGGCAGTGGACCCGTGAGAAAATTGTTGGCCAGCTTCACTGCCCGCAAAGTCTGCCCGAACTTGGAAAATGTTGCCGGAACGACCCCGTAGAACTGGTTGTTGCTCAAGTCGAGGTTCATCATGTTTGGGAAGTTGCCCAAGAAATCCGGAATGACCCCAGAAAGTTTGTTCTGACCGACGTCGAAGATTGACAGTGCAGGGAGGCCAGCTATGCTTCCTGGAATCTGCCCCGTAAACTGGTTGTCGCTCAGATCGATGGCTGAGATTTGCCGACAGTTGCCGAGGCTGGAGGGAATCGCCCCGGAGAACTTGTTGGCGGAGAGGCCGAGCGACTGCAGCGACGTCGCATTCGCGAAAACGTCGTCGGCGATGGTCCCCGTGAAGACGTTACCGTCAATTTGCAACATCGCCATGGGAACAACCGGCCTCCTGAAAACCTCGTTAAAAGGAAACTCGCCAACGAGGTTATTATCGCTGAGGTACAGCGACTGCAGACCGGGTAAAGCCGCGAGTAGCCCTTTCGGAATGCTTCCTCTCAAGTGGTTCCCCCTGAGGTCCAGCGAGGTCAGCCCAGTGAGCTTCGTCAGCAGCATCGGGAGTGGGCCGGTGATCTCCGCACGTGGTAACTCCAACGCTGTAACAGCTCCAAATTCGTTGATCGTCACACCCCACCAGAGCTCGGCTTGCGCCGACTGCAGCCACGTTTCCGACTGATAGAAATTCCCTCCCCAGGCCTTTTTCAGCGCGAGGAGCACGCCTTGCTGCGTCATGTTGACGCTGATCGGCATCGTCTCGACGCTGTTCCCGACGAACTTCGCCATGGTGCGGTCGCGCTGCTTGAGCTTGTTAATCATGTCCTGCACGCCCTTGCTGAAGCCCTTGAACGGGCTCTTGAATATCTGCGCCTTGTTCAGAGGTTTGAAGGCGAGGCGACGCCGGGGAACGTCACCGGGGCCGGGCCAGAAGAGGAGGAAAGCTGCTATGATGGCTAGCAGCCCTACGCCGACCGATTGTAACCTTGACGCTGGTTTGGCTGGCGACATGCTGGCAGGAGTTTGGGAATCCTACTTCGAAAGATGAGACCTAGTGGGAATAACCTAGTGGAGATGCTATGCAGCTATGCACGACAGAGCGTTGGCAGATGGACACCAGAGTTGGAGCTGGAGGGCGACTGAGCCCTGGCGCTGAGACCTGGCTTATCAGTCGGCAGGACACGGTGGGCTGCCTTCTGGATTAGGCAAGGGAACACTTTCAGAACGTGAATGATAAATGATTTCTGTCTAGACTATGATGCCACCCTGCACGGTTTCCTAAGAGGTCTGCAGCTGGAAAATATTTTAACGATGTGTGGTTGACCAGCTGGATGGGGAAAGGTGCGAGCGAGCTGGATGGGGAAAGGTGCGAGCGAGCTGGATGGGGAAAGGTGCGACCAGGGAGGGAGGGTGGCTGGCTGGGCCAAGCGATTGTATGCTTTCGTGACTATAGCAGCTCCTTCTGGTTGAGGGGTGGTGGTGACTTCTGAGTCGCGATTCATGACTCCTCTGGCTCAGCGAGCAGCAGCAACATGGCTTGGCTTCATCCTTTTTGCTCGACGGGAATGACGGCGATGTTGGGGGAAATGCCTTGCTCCTCCTGATTAACTGGTGAACCTTGCTGGCGCAACCTGAGAGGGCTTTCCCTCTCAATCGCACGGTGGAAAATAAATGGAAGCAGTGACTACACCCTGTTTCTCGACCCTCTCACCTTGCGCGATTCGTTGCTACAGTGCGGTCAGGTGCCATAAACCGTATGGCTGAATCCTGCGGGCAAAGCCGCACCAGCTGACGGAGTGGTCCTGGGGGCAAAATTTTCCTTTATCGCTGTATACCCTTTTCAACCGCTTTGAAACGCTTGGTTAATGTTCTTTACCATGCAGCATCCTAGCTAACCGCTTTCTTGTGAATGTGCTTGTACCGTCGGTGATAAGACCATTTCAAACGTGGTGACGTTCTACAACCGGAGCATGTTCTGCAACCAGATGCTCTGCTAGCGCGAAACAGGGTGTACGATGAATAGACGGTTCGACGAGGGCGGATAACACCTGTGACAGCGGCGCAAACATCAGAAAAGGCACCTGCGCCATCTCTGGGTAGGAGGGCAGTGAAGTTGTTCAGGTGCTTACTCGACACCTTCTGTTGAATGATGCGTTGTTGGTAGGAATGGTTGCACAACTGACACGGCATATAATCTAAAACGAGAGTCTCGTATTGTTTGCTGGACGTTTCTCAATGTGCCAATAAACTAGCATGATTGGCATTGATTCATATTCTGAGCTGTAATAGCAGTGATTTTCATCCAATTTTATTCATCATAATTTCAGAAAGGTATACCGTGTGATTGTTAGTTTTAGAATGTCAAATGCCATAGAATGTGTAGGCTCACTATCGAGGTGAAAATGAAGCTGCTTTTGTTGCGACGAATCAAGGAATCTGGACCCAAGGTCCTCCTCAGTGAACACATGACAGCAAAACGGAAAGCTCGTCTACAAAGCGGCGATTTGTCTGACAAAGTCATTGTAGCCGAGCATCCAGCAAACACCTTATCAATTGCCGTCCTATCAGCAGCTCGCCTGGATTTACGCCATTCTTCCATGTAGTTAATCGCATTTGTAAACCTACCTCCAGCTGACAGCGACTACCGAATGGCTATACGCGGACAGGCTACTAGATGTCTTGGCTTTTTAGCTTCCTGAATTGCGTGTCTGACTAGGCCACGCACTAAGTCCGCCATAAGTCCCAGGCTGTTACTGTCTTTGGTACGTCATTGTCAAGCTCCTGGTTGCTTCCGGTTGGTCCCGGTTCCTACCGGTTCCTATTGTCCGTATGTCACCCCTCGCATTCTCCTCGCAATGGGAGGTGCTGTGAAGCCTTAGCGGGGAAGTACTATTGTCTGCTTGCGCATGCGACGGATCGTTTTCCATTCCGACCTTGAGTGCACTGGATCCTCGCTATTAGCGCTCGCAGATGACATGTCTCGAAGCTGTACAAATCTGACGAGGATTCCTCTGTTCTCTCACCGGAATCATAGAACCTACACATTGTCGAGACCATTGTACCTTCTACTTGCCCTCGCGTGTTTACTCACCCGTGGTAGAGCTGCTTCGATACTAGATGACGATTCTGCTCTGAAGTCCCCTTCAGCTAGTGTTACCGGCAACCCTAATCGTCAATCTCGCCGTTTAACAACCTTCACGTGGAGACGCACTAACGAGAGTTTGCTACCATCGATTATACATGGAGATAGCAGAAACGGCCACTCTACTTTTGCGGACGAAATCGCAGGGACAAGCGGAGGCGGGGTCGGGGAAAGCGGCGGAAGGGGAGGAGGGGGGGGAAATGGCGGAATGGGGGGAGCAGGCGGAAGCCAGGACACTAGCCTCAGGCGGAGGCTATGGCAGCGGTTCATGGGCGGGGACGAGGCGGAGAAGCAGCAGAATTCGGACAAGGAGCATGGGGGGATCGGGATGGGGATGGTTTTGGAACGCAGAGAGGAGCGACGGGAGAAAATCGCGCGGGAGTTTGTGCCTTTAGACCGTCTTGATCACGAGGACGGGGGGCTGCGAGGGTTCGCGAATGGTCTCTCGCGGAAAGAGACGGGAGGGGGAGGTGGAGGGGTGGCGGATAGCAGGGCTAGTGAGAGCAGCGGCAGTGGTGGCGGTAGCAGCGGTGGCAACAACAACGGTGGTGCTGCTGTAGCAGGTGCAACAGGGGAAGGCGAGGGGGGGGTTGATAAAACTGACGGAACAGGCTCGGGGGATGGAAGTGGGGAGCAGCTAGGGAGCAACGGGAAGGGCAAGAAAGAGGCAGTGCAGACCCAGTTAGACGGAGACGATATTCCTCTGCTTATGCCTTTAAAGGGGTTGTTTAAAAGCAAGGATCTCGACGAGGAGATTAAAGAGGAGGAGGAGGAGGAGAGGAAGAAGGGCGAGAGGGGGGCGGAGAGGAAGCGGCAGGTGGCGAGGCGGGAGTTTCGGAGCGATGATTGGAGTCACTTGGGGGAAACGCGGCCAGGGTTGTCGTCTAGTGAGAGCGGTGCTGGTGGTGGTGGTGGAGCGAACACAACTGGTGTTGCTGGGACTGCTGCTGGTGATGGTGTTACCAGGGATAGTACCGAAACCAGTCATAGCGCGTCAGCTGCTTCTAATGGAGCTTCACAGGCAACCGCAGGTACCACAGCCAGCAGTAGTGCCACAAAAGAGGGCGAGCATGGGACTCATATGCCAAGTGTGACTAAAACGAACGAGACGAGTGGTGAGAAGGGTGGCGACGTGGGTCAGCTGGTGGGTCGAATCCTCGACAGGCTGGATGATATGGAAGACGAGGGGGGTAAGTTCAACAAAACCCTCGAAAAACAAGAGGCAGTTCTGGAAACAGTCGCCCGGGTGGGTAAACACCACGTCCTAGAAGAGGTGAAGGAGAGGGAGCAGCGGGAGGAGCAGGAGGACCGACAGGTGTTAGAGGAAGCAGAAAGGGAGGAAGCCCAGGAGAAGATGAAGCAGCTAGAGCAGGTAGCTCTAGCCATGGCTGCTGCTGAAGCGGAAAAGAAGGCGAAAAAGAAAGGGGTGGCAGCGGTGGCGGCGGTGGTGAGTCAGGGCGTGAAAGCGAGCGAAGTGTCACTTTTTGACCTGGTGTTTGGGCGGGATAGCAGCGGGAAACAACCTCCCCCAGTCTCGCCCTCCCCCAGCCTCCGAACGAAGAACCTCACCAGGCTAGCCGCAGCTAAGAAGCGGTTTGCAGAGAGGGCAGGGCGGGGGGCGAGGGAGAAGGAGAGATCGGAGAGGGTTGATGAAGGGGAGAACGATGTTCCCAGGCTGATAGACTCGCAGGACAATGAGTACGTTATAAGCAGTCCCGGTAAGGGGTCGAAGATGCAGCTACAGGAGGACTTTATGCTTATATCGGATGTGGTGAAGGTGATTGTGGCGGCGGCTCTGGGGGGGCTTGCGTGTGGGCTTGTGGGACAGCCGATCATTCTGGGATACATCGTTGCAGGGATGATTATCGGGCCTGGAGGGTTCGGTCTTATCCACGAGCTCGTACAGGTGAGACGAGGTTGCATTGCTGTGTCGTCACTGGTAATTAGAACTCGCGTGTGGGCTGGTGGGGCAGCCCATCATTCTGGGATACATGGTGGCAGGGATGATCATTGGGCCTGGAGGGTTCGGTCTTATCCACGAGCTCGTACAGGTGAGGCGATTGTGAGGGACGCATGAGTAAGGTGCAGTGTGAGTGAGGTGTGAGTGAGGTGTGAGTGAGGTGTGAGTGAGGTGTGAGTTAGGTGTGAGTGAGGTGTGAGTTAGGTGTGAGTGAGGTATGAGTGAGGTGTGAGTGAGGTGTGAGTTAGGTGTGAGTAAGGTGTGAGTAAGGTGTGAGTGAGGTGTGAGTTAGGTGTGAGTAAGGCGTGAGTAAGGTGTGAGTAAGGCGTGAGTAAGGTGTGAGTAAGGTGTGAGTAAGGTGTGAGTAAGGCGTGAGTAAGGTGTGAGTAAGGTGTGAGTAAGGCGTGAGTAAGGTGTGAGTAAGGCGTGAGTAAGGTGTGAGTAAGGTGTGAGTAAGGCGTGAGTAAGGTGTGAGTAAGGCGTGAGTAAAGGTGTGAGTAAGGTGTGAGTAAGGCGTGAGTAAGGTGTGAGTAAGGCGTCAGTAAGGTGTGAGTGAGGTGAGGCCCATCGAGGCACTGGGAGGGAGCTTGTGTTGTGGACTCATGGGGCAACCAGGTATCAGACGGGGAATTTTTGAGTCGACTCAAAAGTCACGTGGACTCATGGGGCAACCAGGTATCAGACGGGGAATGTAAATCTGAAGGGGGCTGGGGGAGTGACGGAGCAGCCAAGGGGTCTGGTCTGGGGTAATGCCTTGACTCCCTCCCCTCACTCTCTCCTCCCTTACTCACTCACTCACTCCCTCCCTCCCTTCCTCTCTCGTATTCACTCCCCCTTTCTCTCACTCACTCAGGTGGAAACCCTAGCTCAGTTCGGGGTGGTCTTCCTCCTCTTTGCCATTGGGGTCGA